ATGTGAATATTATTAATCTTATGTTCGTATATCTCGTGTGTGATCTTTTTCGTTTTCATCATCATCATCGTCATCACCAATATTATTACTATGTTTGTCATTTACTTTCGCTTTTATTTCGCGAAACGGATTACATTTTTCTGTATTGTTTTTGTTTATGGTTGTTGGCTTTGTATTTACGTTAAAAACGTTATTCTTGTTGATCATTGTTTTCATATTTTGTTTTGAAAATTAATTTAAGTTATATATTGTTGCTATTTGGTGCGTCCTCATTTTGAATATCATTTACTCAATTCATCCTATCTCGATTTCAGTCTTATTTTAATTCGTATTCAAGAATATACATATGTTGAAGACATTTTGGTTGCTTTCATATCTTCTCGCTCAATGATACTCGTATGGATTTTGAGCAAAACCTTGATTCATTTATCAATTACAACAATGATACTTTTCAGTGGTAGTTTGTTCTGATACCCTATTATATGGTATGCAGTTCATTATAACTCAACGTTTCAAACTGATTGCAAAGTACCGTGCTCATTGTCGACTTTACTCTAACTCGTCAATTGATAATAACATAAACTGTGCTGTAATTTTTTGTATTAATACACGTCATTTAACATCACGAAATACCATCATCGTAGAAGAATGATCTGCTAGAAAAATATTGAAAAGAACTGCTTCATGCACATGTGAGAATTTGTAGAAGCACTTGCAGTTTGGAGGTAATTTTATATTGTACATTCTCAGTTTGCAATATGTTGGCGTATCCAATTGATCGTATACAATGCACGGATAGAATTATGAAAAAATTTGTGTCAATGTGGACCAAAGTTTGTACGTGTCAGTGTTAGTACATGTCAGTGTTACAGCGCAAATATGTATTTGCATACGTTGACGTTGGAAAAAATATGCATTCATTTGCAGATGAAAAGTTAGCGGAATATAATGGAAGTAGTTTGCTGAAGCGCTAACCAAAGCAGAATAGAAATTTCCGCTATTTGAAAACAGTAGCGCGTTATTGGCCATCTTTGGTAAGAAGCACCTGGCCATATTCTTGTACGAGTCGGTCTGCTATGATCTCATGCAAAAGCTGAATATTTGATGAAAGTTTCGAACTGTGTGATGGCTCGTTGAATGTGTGCTATATACGAAGAAATTGTTGACTATTTCATGGATGAATATTGCCGGGGAACGGAATCATTAGCAACTTTATCAGTTCAACAGACGATAATAAACTCATCTATCACGCAAAACTCTTCTAACGGATTATAATGAATGACCGGAGATTTGTGTGGAAGATAACTCATCTGAAACAATATATTTTGATTGGTGAATTCGTTGCTTGATTCGAATCGGAACAATGTGTTATGGCATTCCAAGATGCTTTATTTTCTTGAATGTTCAGCAATAGCCTCCAAGATGTTGTATCCCATTTCATACATTTGGATGATGATGAATTCCTCCGAAATTTGTAAACTGGACATGCTGGATAACGATTGGCACAATTTACGACTACGAAAACCGTCGCACATTTAGACTTGCAAAAGTCAAAAATAACTACCGCTTTTTCGTTATTGGTCTTAGGATGGATTAATGGAAATGGTTCCAGTTGTAGTTGTAAGCAGTTAAATTCATTTAGGTTTACAAATTAAGACCTGAATCTTACAATAAAAGTTCTTCTCGAAATAGGTATTATCAAAGTGAATAAATTTGTGGGGCTGACTTTATATGAGTAGATCGCTTTTACTTTCACTAGTTGCGAGGATTGCAGCGATTGTTCAATAACCAGCCAGCTGTTGACAAATGCTGCATTGACAAAATGGATTGCATTTCAAGGGTCCAGGATAACTGCATCCCTGCCAAATGCTACCCTGTCAAGTGCTACCATGTTATTCAGTCACTCAACGTTCGTTTCGGTTCAATTTTTAAGCCATGCGAACGCATGTTCACCATTGTACAAAACAAGTATATGAAGATGTGCGGAATTCACCGTGAGTAGTATCGTGGCTGCAAGCAACCGCCTGAACTCTGGATGAGCTCCGCCCTTGTGGCTTAAGCTTCATTATTGCTAGCTGGAGTGGATACCGAGACAAACCGGAGGCTAAGCCTCGTGGTGAACCTCAGCAGAATATAGTACATCCATGGTTTCCATTAATTAAGAGATGTATACGAAGTATTTGTACGGTTGTACTTATGTTGAGAACGAAGGAGATATAATATTTTCTCAGTTCTCCATCGTTTGTATTATTAAATTCAGTCATTTCATTTAGATCGTTTCAATGATTTTCTGATCATCTTCGATCTGATGGGGATTCCATAAACCTATATTTGTTGGTGGAATGAATACATCAACGTTGTACCTTGCACAGGATCTGAATAGTCAATTTTCATAGCTTTATTCTCAATTCTTTTTTACCTTTTCATTTTCTGCGGCGGATCAGCCGTGAATTTGTTCTAAGCATTTTGTTTCGTTATGAGTTGGCGATAGGAATGATGCAAAATGTGATCATACCTTGGGCTGTCACTAACACTGTAGTTCATAATGCAATTTACAGCTGATACCTCAGTTGATGTTCTGCGTTGTGAGTGAATATATCAACTAAGACGAATTCATTTATTTTTAACTGAATACTACGGAAAGAACTGATTCGGTTTACAATGAATTCAGATCAGGGTGAACAGCGCTTGAACAAAAATCCTCGAATAAGACTTTGTAGACATATTTCCATCTAAAAACAAAAACATCCACAATTATTATTGAAATACGAAACAAAAGTTCGGAACAAAACGATACGAAACATGGAAGAAAAATCTTGTGTATGTAAACATTACACATCACCGGAATTTTATGGAAAGAGTGAGTGTTTTAAGCTGGTTTCAAATATTTCATAGTTAGGGGGAAGGTTCACATGTGAGCAGGAATTTGAAACGAAGAGAAATTCGAATACAGAACTATTACAGTTGTATTGTTCATAGCAATGTGTTAAACAACCCATTGGAATTGATAAAGAAGACAGTACAAAAGCGATTTTAATGTAGAAAAACTTCATGTTGCTCGTGCGTTCCGTTGTTGGACATCTCACACTATTTCACTCGAATTCTTTTCCTCTTCGTAATTGAACACAGAACTATTCATTTTTAAGAAGAGCAGTATTAAGAGTAATCCTAATAAAGAACTAATCAGTAAGGGTTAGAAAATTTTAAAAAGCAATGAAAAAACAAAATCCTAATTAAAAAACTGGATGCATGAGATCACGCTAAGATCTGAAACTCAACAACTCAACAAATTGAACAAAACAATTGAGCAATATGAGTGAACAACTTTAGCACGTACTGTCCAATTCCAATATCGACATCAATGTACATTAAGTGAGATCGTCATAGATTTGTAGCTAACGGATACAAAACGATAGTTACATCACGATAAGAAGAACGAGCAAAATTCAAGACCACTATGACAAAAACAATATTCAATGATTATAACAATGCGCAGAACGTTGCAGTATGTAGCTCACAGAAACATTCTCTTTCGCCTCCTTGCTTTTCTCCTCTCAAACGATTTTTAAGAACAACAACCTTGTGCAACCAGAACAAAGCTTGAAAAGCTTTTATCCGTCTTAAGGAATGATGAAAGCGATAATGAAAGCTTTTTAAACGACATTTTAACCAACAATTTTCACATTGGCCGAACTGAATGTGCAATAGCGTTTGAAAATCTTGCTAGAATCGTACAAATACTTCGTATACATCTCTTAATGGAAACCATGGATATACTATATTCTGCTGAGGTTTACCACGAGGCTTAGCCTCCGGTTTGTCTCGATATCCACTCCAGCTAGCAATAATGAAGCTTAAGCCACAAGGGCGGAGCTCATCCAGAGTTCAGGCGGTTGCTTGCAACCACGATACTACTCACGGTGAATTCCGCACATCTTCATATACTTGTTTTGTACAATGGTGAACATGCGTTCGCATGGCTCAAAAATTGAACCGAAACGAACGTTGAGTGACTGAATAACGTGGTAGCACTTGACAGGGTAGCATTTGGCAGGGATGCAGTTATCCGTCACCCGATTTCACAATCGAGGAGGTGGAACACCGTTGCTGATGAATGTTACTAACGTGGTATCATCAATATATTATGTGGACAACCACGAGTCATTCTGCACCCGTATGGAATGCTCTGCTGTTATTATCCAGTTTTACTGTATTATCGTTCGAGCGAAGTTTGTACTGAAGTTGATGACTTGTATGGTCTATATTTAACGCCACAATATGTTTGATGGGCTCATATTTATTTCAAATAACCGAAATATGTTGTTACTTCATCATGCTACGAGCTCATTTTATTCATTTGGTGCAACTTCGAGTTCAGCTAATCAACAACTGCACCGTTAATCATGCTCGTAAAGAAATCGATAAAAAAAAGCTAAGCTCATGGAGTGGTGCAAATTTCATTTGTGTCGTTTGTTCTGCGTTCTCACCATCAACTAACTCCTCTTTGAACAGTCATATTCCGTTTATTTTTTCACACCATATTTTGTAAAATTTTGCATAGTGTTCTTTGTTACGTTAAATTCTTGTAAATGCGTCAGTATTACTTCTTAGAACACGTATGTATATATGTATTGCTTATGGTTCAAATTCATCATGATTTCGCTAACTCCATTCATGTTCACCGATTCTTACGTGCACTTATCTTTACAATGTTGGCTTCATGAATCGAAATTTCAATCTAAATCGTTCGCTCTAGATTGATTTAGAGAATTTTGGCATGCCATCTGGTTGTCTTTAGAAATAAATTCCAGTCAATGATAATATATCCGTTTTTAATACAGTGACCATCTGATGAATTTGTTATGCAATCGTGATTTAACTATCCACATCTCATTTTATCCGTACGATTAGTTGCCTTAATCGTTGCGAGAGGAACGAACTAATAACACTAATAATCAAATTTCAGGTTCAATATTTTCATATTATCGTGTCCGAAGTAAATGTCGGCGTTGAATTCAAATCCATTTGGCGATCCATTTGCGGTAAATTATTAATTTCAGTTAACGTGTTTAATTCTTAGAATAATTATTAAATGTGATGAATTTTCAGTGGCTCAATCGAATACCCTAAATCTGTCCACAATCTATTTAATCATCGATCACTCTTATATTTGTTTTATCACTACCATTTTCGTTAAGAAATAATTGTTTGTTTGATTATTTTTCGTCCGTTCTTTGTTTCGGTTTATAATTTAATAACTGAATATATCAAGGATCCAAGTGTTGTTCAAGCGGCCGTGCAGCCTACAGGTGGTGATCCGAGTGAGGACTTCAATCCATTTGCACAAAACTCCAAGCCTGCGGCCGCTCAATCAACACCTACTACTCAGACAACTAACACTCAGGTACACGTTCTTCACTATTTGCATTTCACTCTTGTTGCATACTCATGCTTTCCTTTCTGATCCTTAGTTGTGTGGAACAGCAAATGCTTGGCATAACCCTTTCTTGATTGTTTTTTAACCCTTTCGATTACATTGTTTTCAGTTTCAAAATTCTGAGGTCTTCAAAGTTTTAAAACCAAAAACTTTACCTTTAAAAAATCATTAGGCAATAACTACTTTTACATTGATTAATTTTATGAAGTTCCTTCATCTCGTTAAATGAAGGTTTGTTCGACTATGCTTGTTGAATAGATTTTATTACATACTAATTCGGTCGCCTAGACGGAATTCACATATCTGCCTTTTCGTACACCTACTTATTGTATTCGTCACACCTTTATTTCAGAAATTCTTAGTATTTGAAGTTGAGATAATTTTTACAAAACTAATATCTTGCATATGCGCACTACTAGTGGTAAGCAAGCAAAATTCCGTCGCAATTTTAAGCGGATTTCGGTTCTGATAATTTTTAGATTTTCGGTTTCTATAAAGGCTTGGGATCGCCAAAATAGATTGCATCGGATTCTAGCCGACCCAGTTTTTCGTTCGTTTACCGTCATTGATGCGCATAATAAAATGAATGAATTGAATGTTTGTGTGTGTGCTCCGGTCCATCCATCAATGCATCGTACTTTCGGCTATAACTTAAGGTTTAAACTGCACTAGTGATATTGATAATCAGTTTTTGCCACGTTTAACTGCGGCCTCTTCGTGTTCGTAAATGACAACGATAGTGGTTGACGCGTCATCGCATTGATTAATCGATGTAGCAGCATCCTGTCTGCATTACGCACTCACATCAGCATTCTCGTATGAATCGAATCGAGCGACATTACTGGCCTGCTCGCTGCGCTAGCCTGGATGCTAACGCAGCAACAGCACAACTTTATGATTATTCACTTTCGGTCATATATCTCTTGATGTTGTTCGTTTGTTATCATCTTACTAGCATCCATTCATCCGCCTATCCAACCATTAATCTGTTACATGCACATTCATTTGTCTCATGCATACAGATATTGAGATTGATGTATTTTTTACAGTCAATAAAAATGTTCATTTCTGAGTGCTAATCAAGCATATTGATCCAGATAAGGATACATTTTACATACACTGGTCCATTGAAGAATTTTGTTAGTAAATTGTATTTGAAGAAGATTTGTATTTGTGAAAATTTTACTTTCGTATCATTTCATTTCTACCTCTAATCTCCTTTGTGGTTTATCATATAATGTGTTCTTGTGTCATTATTTATGCTTCGTATGCCTTTTATTGATATTATAACGTAAACGTATAACGTATCATACTGAATTTTTTTCTGCGCATCCGGATAGTCCATTTCTAGGTCTGATCGAATAGTTTAAAGTTTAGTGGAGGAAACTGGAAGGGGATGGGCGAGAGGTAAATTTTCAGGTGATTTTGAACGGTTTATCGAAAGTACAGAAATTTAGTTTGTGTTGAGTGATAGGTACCAAAAAAGATGTGTTAATGATTCGAAGTAGTAGGTACTTGCAGCCGACGTCAACCACTGCGCAGTCAAATGCAATGAGCAGTGATGAACTGTTTCGACGTCAAGAAGAACTCGAAAGGAAAGCACAAGAATTGAGGAGGCGAGAACAGGAATTGGAGCGTCAACAGAGAATAGGCAGCGCCGGAGTTGGCACAAACCGACCTCATAATTGGCCTCCCATTCCATCATTTCTTCCTATCCAGCCATGCTTCTATCAGGTTACTCTTTTATTTCCTCGATCGAAATAAACTCTGTAAAACTAATTCACTGAATATTTTTAGTCGAAGAATCTACTCAACTACTTAGTATTTGTAGTGGTAGTATTATCATGTAATGCATTACACAATCACCTTCCAGTAGAGTTCTTTCATCATTGGCATTTTCTGTTCATTTTTGTTTCCAGTCTGTAGAGGGTTTCTAACCTTTCTTATAATGAATTTATCAAAGTTTTTCGATCTTGAAGACCATGAAGGATAAGTTTACTAAAGTATGTTTAATCGTAATATTGAAATGGATCGCTTTGCTTACACATTCAAAAATTCGACTTGAAGAACGAGAGGAGCTATAGGGAGTGAAACGTATTTGTTTACCGAAATCTACTGGCAGGCGAGTGCAGTAGTGACCAAACAAGAAAAGAAAATATTTGATGAAGAAAGGGCCTGAGTTGTGTTGTTGTTAGTGGCTTTTTGTGGTGGCATATTCAAATTTTCAGGATATCGAAGTGGAGATTCCAGTTCAGTTTCAGCGTACAGTGACGTTGGTCTATTACGTCTTTTTGACGTACGTGCTAGCACTGACAGTCAATGTGATCGCTTCACTGTTTTTCATGCTCTTCGGACAGGGCGGAGTGGCTATCTTTCTGCTTGCCATCATTCAACTTCTACTTTTCTCCCCATGTTCATTCCTATTTTGGTTTCGTCCTGTTTATAAAGCTTTCAGGTGAATGACTTTTACAGCTCACAATCAAATAACATGCGACGAAGTGAACTTTTTCTGGTGACGGAGATCATTGCTTTCATCTGTTAGATACTCTATAATGAGTTAGTGCTATTTGGACGGTTCCAATCGCAAATGTTCAAACGGACAGCCGTAAACGCGTATTGTAGCCTAAAAAATTTCGAGTGGTTGGAAACAGCAAATTGATTGCCTTGATTATACCCTAAAAGTAATGATAAAATAACTTCAGGAACGACAGCTCGTTCAATTTCATGGTCTTCTTCTTTGTGCTCTTTTTTCACTCCATATTCACGCTCATACAGGCACTTGGCTTATCACAGTACGCATGCGGATGGGCTAATTCAATTGAAACTTTCCAGTATGTACTCATCATCGTCGTCGTTATTTTAAACATCTTGTATATAGAGGTTTCAATCAGCATTTCATTGTTGCCAAATGAGATTTGCAATAGCAACCTCTTTTGATCAACTGATTATCGGTTACATTATATGTTGCTGGTTAAGGGAGTCAATTAGTGCAATATTAATCGTATTCGAACATATTGTTTCTTGAATGTGGATTGCAATAACCCATTTTGATGATTTGCACATGTTGTTTTCCATTTCAACAGAATACTCTATCTTGCAAATCATAGCGATTACCAAAGTAAGCGCAAGCCCTATGGTTGTTTGTAGGAAATTGTTTGACCGGGTTGACCAATAAAATTTAGGAATCAGTCGTGAGGCATTATAATCGGATTCATGCAGTGATGATGTGTTGTGACTGGATAATTCATTGATGTTGTCATTACTATTATTCGAATGATTAGCCATTCCATTTATTTCGCGTACTTACTGCTGTAGTGTCATTATTGAGCTTTTGATTACTAATATTATTGTTATTATTATTTTTATTAAAATATTATTGTTGTTGTATTTGCAGTGTGAGTGTTATAGTGGCATTATTAATGCTTCTATCTGCATTAGCATTCACAGCTGCATTTGGTGGCATGGTATTCGCCCTAATCAAAGTGCATCGGCTCTATCGCGGTGCTGGATTCAGTATCGATAAAGCTCGCAAAGAGTTCTCTGACGGCGTTATGGCAGATCGAAACGTGCAGCAGGTTCTTTTTATTATTCTTCGCATCATTACTCATTCCAAACAAAACTTCCATCCGCCGGTGTAACTCGGGCATTTCACTAGTCTGAATTGACCGAAATTCTGGATTTATAATGCATTGGCTAAACTTTTCTATTTATGCATTTGTAGTATTGTCGTACGTTATTGTAAAGCCGTTAAAAATTTTGCTCTCCATTATTTGAACGCAGTCAAATTCAGCAAATATCCGATGACCACAAAAAAACCTAACAGTATAATTGTGAGTGTTCCTGCAGTGAATTTTGAAACGGTGGCATCAGTTTTCCATTATGAAATACCAAATAGATGTAGGGTGAGGTGATAGATTGTTGTCGGCATGTTTTGAATTTACGTTTAGGAATAATGAATTGAAAGTCTCTGATATGCAGTCTCTTTCTCTACACTAAATCATTTCTGATTGCTTCCTCTTCTTATATCTTGGTGAGCTAGCATTTCCAAAATTTTAGGCAGCTTCTGGAGCGGCACGCGCCGCAGCAACACATGCAGCTAATCAGGCGATGAATCAAGCAACTCAAGGACGTTTTTAAAGTGGAAATGATGAATGGTTGGTTGATTCAACGAAAGGCAAGGATACGACGGGCTTAAGATATTTCTGTGAAAGAACAATTTGATTCATTACATTTTGTATCTACGTAAACGAATCCGTGACTGAAAACCATTCTGAATTTATTTGGATTTATTCGTTGAATCTTATCGATTCTTGAACAGAGTTATACTCATTTTGTTCCCAAATTTAAGGTATTCGTTGTTTCTTGTTTCTTTGTAACTTCTCTGCCGCATGATTGTTCGAATGTTTAATTATTTATTCACTCCTATTAGTTCACTGCTTTTCTTTATACATTCTCGGTTATTCTACTTGTGTGATTCATTTGATTTGTTTCCTACTACACCCGCCAAATTCACCACAGTGATTTTCGAATTAATTGGCCACTGTCCTCAACAACCGAGCTACTATCAGCTGCTTTTTCTTTCAAAGGGTTTTATAAAGCTCTATGAGTCCTGTTCTTGCTTGCATTTACTGTCCTTCCATATCTTCTGCAAATCGTTTTTTCCAGTTCATTATTTTGCGAAATTGTTACTGATAACTGTAATAATGATTATTATTATTATTTACACGTTCGAAACTAGTTTTTTGAAAGGTTGATCGTTTCTGAGTTTGGCTTATTGTTTGTCACCTTTGTTTTTAATCTTTTAGCAACAATGATCCATCCTCCCATCAGATAATATTGAGATGGATCATCTTCTCATTTCTTTACTCGTTTCTTCCAGAAGTGCGCCAATATTTTCGTTAACTCTCGAAAGTAAGCGAATGAAATGGTGAATTATTAAATGATGCATATGTCAGTTAAGCCCCAGAAGTATGGTAGATGACACGTATTCTATCGTAAGTTTTTTGATCACATTTAATAAATAGTGCGAGTGATTTTTTGTTGCAATTGAACGACTGAAATGGTGATTATTCCATTTGTTTACTTCTTTATTTGGTTCAAACTTTACTAAATATTTCAGCAAAATATCATTATTCATGGCAATGTATGCTCTTTCTCGTTTGTTTATATGCTTTATTTTGTATTAATTGTTCGTTTTAAAAATTGGAGAATTCATTAAATTTTTCATGTCCTATAAAATAGTTCTATTTTATTGACGTTAATAATACTGTTCTTCAACGTGTTCCCTTAATCACAGTTTTCGTATTTTCCAAGAACAAAACATGTTGAAGGAAAAAAAGTATATGGCAATGATTGTTTCTTAAAATTTATTCATTATGAACAGGTTTATGGGGTCGTAATTTATCGCTCTTTTCTCTTTTTGATCTTTACGGTTTTACTGTTGTTCTAGTTACTAAAATTATCATCTTTTGATGAAAATATTTACTCTTTATTGTTCAGAATCTCTGATTGAGGAGTAACTTTAATTCTTTATTTATATGCTTGCGACATTGTTCTCATCTTTATTTAATCAGATTTTTCATATTTAACCAATGCCGTTCTCTCTCCAGTTACAGTCACTATAAGAAGGAGGGCATATTTTTAATTTATACCAACATCAGTTCACATGTACACGTTTTAATTAGAATTCGAGCGAATCCATTATTTCGTGATTGTTTTTGGATTGATTCAGGACTGTGTGATATTTCTTGAAGAACTGTAGAGAATAATTTGTAATCGTGATGTTGTGCAGAAGAGCTGTAAAATCATGGTGGAAATAAAGTATCGTTTGATTCGTTATCGGTGATAACATGATTTTGTTTTGTTTTTTGTGCACTTACAGTTCATTCAAAACTCCGAGGCCGTAATGAATGTTATGTGTAGAGAATGCTCAGAATTTTATCGTGATCGCACATTGCGTTCTTAAAATTGGTAAAGTGCTTCAGATAATCGTCGCTGAAAACCGCATCTGCTTATCAGTTAGTTGCGGCCAAACAAACAATGCTTGTCAGTTGCAAGCGTACACGAAACAATTAAACTATTTGGTAACATAAGCAGTTGTTGTGGTGATTAAGTTCAGTGTTTATGCTGATTAATTTACGAGGAATTATATGAGTGTTTGGGATTTGACCGTATCGCGTTTTTAGTTTCGTGGTTTAGATTCATACTTGACGGTTGTAACAATAGTTAGCACTTGAACTCTTGAAGTGGCAATCGGGCTGCGTCAAACCTTGAAGGTGAAGGCATCATATCATCATTGTGATTAACCATCAGCGCTCAATCTGTCCATAGTGTTTGTCACTGAATTTATTCAAAAGATCAAATGAAGGCAGTAATTGTTGTTTTTTAATATTTCATTTCATTCGTTCAGAGCAGTTGATATTCGTCTCCTCATTAAGTCGTCCACCATAAGGTTGGCACGAGAATAAGGACAGATAGAAAAAGGCTTTCCTCTCCCATTTTGCTTTTGGTCTGGAAAATTTCATTTGAAGCACGTTTTCAAATTTTATATTTGCGTTTTTGAAGTAACATTTAAACGTGTCTTGTGGGGTTGAGTGCTCTCACAGCCAATCCATTTGTTTGCTTTCATCCGACGACGATCTTTGACGGTCGGTGATCTACCGTAGTCGTATGTTTGCGCACGAGACAACACGTATCTACTGAGCAATGCAGCGGAAGAGCATAAATGTATGAAGCATAAAACAGCTGAGATGATGCTAGACGGCAAGACAATTGAATTATTTTAGTGATAAAATTTTGATCGAGCATTTTTTTTATTTGGTTTGATTTGGGCATTCCCTTATTGTGAAAAGATATTAGTCTTTATGTTCATTGGAGTGCAGAAACTCAGTATATGCTAAATTGTGAAGCACTTTAATTTTTCGTTGAAATTAATGTACAGTTTAAATATTTCATCAATGCTGAAGGGAGTTTGTGTTCTTGTCTTTTGAATATAATCATTGATCACATAGCGAATGAAGGGCTTTTATGAGTCGTCATTGTTTAGTGGTGCTTAAATTCCACAACATCAAAATCCTTGTCAAACATTGATTAAATCGACTCATAACTGATAATATTAATCATTCTTAATGCCGGCATGGGATTGCTATTAGAAGCGTGAATAATAGACTTGGACTGTGTGAATAATTAACATTCAATCGCTCAACTGTCATAGCATTCTAATGAAATATCGATTGGATCCAATAATATTTGAAAATGAGCTTTTCATTTATTCTAGTGGATGTTTTTCTGCATATTTATCGCATATTTGGAATCGTTGTAATTCTGCAAAAAAGGCTTAAATGAATGTTGTTTGTAATTACCATTTGATCATTTAGTTAATCTGATTCATTACTCGTATTAGTCAGTATATCATGACTGCTGTCCTTTTTTTAGATTATTCTTGTTGATTCCAATCGAGCTCCTCCATATCGCACTAATCTAAGCGACTAACAAAGAATCAAAAAACCTCAGTGGCATTACTGAGCACTTGCTGAACAATTCAAGAAGGTTCATTTCATTTATTCGTTTCTTCGTTATCATTATTTTCTTATCGGATCTATTTCACAAATCGATTACATTCACGTTAATCACAGTAGTTAATGATAACTAGTTGTTATATAAATTTCTGATTGTACATCAAATTGGAGCGGTGTGAAGCTACATAAAATAAGTTTTCGTGCCTAATTTTCATTGAAACAAATTTTTTCAAATAAAAAATACTTTGTAGTATTATAACAATGTCTCATAATCTGTTGCTTCGAAACAGCGTTAAAGTTCGCTAATGCAGTAGGGATTATTGTTGCTATGATGTCGTCTAACAGCTACTCAGTCATCACGTGGATACATTTAATTCACTCAAATATATATAATACATTTGAGGGAGGAATTTTGTAAACTTTCCACGCAATCAAGAGTTCGCATGAAGATTCTGTGGGAGAGTGACGATTGGCCAGGTGCTGTAGTGGAACCAGGTGTAACATGTCTAAATTGGATACCAAATGTGAACAAACCTGGCTTTGGATTACTTGCAGCAGGTATCATGTACTTTTGTGTTTTGAATTGTATATTTATAACTATTCATATTCAAATGTCAACTAAACAGCAGACTAATTGTCACGCTCCTACAGATATCATTTTGTAATGTTCTTGGTCTGTAGATACCATACTGTGCTAGATCTTTAGTCGCAGATGTTGAATTGTTTTTCTTTCGGTTGAAATTAGGGAGCAGTGTTTTGAATGGTTTTAAGTGTAACGAGCATTGAGTAGTTGCGATGTTTAGGTTCAGAATCTGGCGCGGTGGGAGTGACATCAACAGAATTGTATGGTGGACGTGACGATCTGAAACGTTATAACTTCAACTTACGTGGTCATCATAGTGCAATTAGCATTGTGGCATGGAACTGTGAACAGACCAAATTGGCCAGTTGTGATCTGTCAGGAATTATTTATGTATGGGTACCGAATGAAGAGAGGTGGAGTGTGGAATTGGTCAACGATAGAGGTATCAAGGTAACCACCAACTTTTCAGTATGAACTGTAAGGCCACAATTTTTTACGCCATTTGAAAATCTTTTCTATTCGTAGTCACAAGGAGAAAAACACTGTTCGCTGTTTGAGTTGATTTACGAACGATTCAAAATGGTACTAATGATTCACGTCTAGCGATCGTTTTTGAATATTTATGTGATTAGAATATTGCTAAAGTGCCAGACTGTTGTCTTGAATTAGTTCAGTCAAATGAAGATAATTACCTCAAATATGATAACCCAAATAAGAGAGCAATAAATAGATATTATCTTAGGTTCGTGATGTAAGTTGGAGTCCGAGCGGTACGTCTGCATTGATTTGTTATGAAGATAATTTTGTCTTAATCGGCTCTTCAAATGGGCAACGCATTTGGTCGAGCTCGTTCGCGGTTACAGTAATGTGTGGTGTTTGGGCACCTGATTCTCGGGAGCTTGTTCTTGGCTTCAATACGGGCGCTATTCAAGTGCTTACAGAACAGGGTAATTCCACAATATTTCGTTGCATTTTTGACGAAGATGAATAATTTTGGATTAATTGTAATTTATAGTCTCGAATGTTGAGAATTATTCGCAATTTGTTCTTGCACAGAACTTGTCTCATATCATTCGAATGCTCCAGTTGCGTTTGGATTGGTAACGGTAACCTGTGCTGATTTAAGGTGCAACTGTCACTGAACGTTCATTATTACCCTGTGCAGTGCAGCGACTTGCTGCTTCTCCTCTTCGCAAAGATGGCAAATGGACTCTTGCTGTATGCTCAGCATCTAATAGCATCCTCTTCTTGAACGCTTATGATGAGGTTGCCAGTTATGCTACGCCACTTATGTTTACTGTTATTTGCAGTCCACCTCTCAAATGTTTGACTCTCGAATTTTTATGTTTCATTACGGAACGGATTTTATATTGCTCATGATCGTTTTGACTAATCGTTTTATTGAATAATAATTTGACGATCATCGAATTCAGATTTTTGGATTAGATAAGCAGTATTAGTTTGAAAGTGATCATAACTGTTCGCAAACGAGCCGGTAATGGAGATATTTAATGTAGATGGTAGATATATTGTTAGAAGTGATGAATGTGTGGAACAGATAACATTATTACTGTTTTAGGTAGAACCGTTGAGTTGGCAAAGTACAGAACCACTGCTGAGTGTGCAGTGGAATGCAAGTGGTACATTACTGGCTGTGATTTGCTGTCGTAATCGTTTGATTGTTCTCGATTATCGATCTACGCTCTTCTATTCACAGCAAGTGCCGATTAATTCACCCAATAATCTGTTAACTGCCTTCACATGGGCACATGATGATCAAGTGTTAATCGCTGCTGCTGGTCTGTTCGAATATTTCTTCTCAAATTCCATTTTATCCACTCCTTGACTGCGTCCATTTGTCTACTTCAAGTCATCAACAACTACCATTTCCAGGAGGGCATCTGGCTGTAGGTCGTGTTTTGATCGGTGTACCATCGTTGTTCAACCTAGTCACCTATAATCTTTGGTTGATGATGGGATCGTCTGCACGCCGTGTCGATTCCCTTCCACTCCCAATTCGCGAGCGTAACTCGATACGTGAATTGGACCATCATTTCATTAGAGTAACTTCTATCTTATTTATATTTCATTTTAATTCAAAATCCGTTTCATCAAAAATTCCATCTGTTTGAATCTGTGTTTTTCTTTTTAATTGCAATTTATTGATGGTACTAGTGGCATTTAATTGCAATTTATTTTGCCAACAAGCGGAGCTGTTCGTTTTCATTTTCTTACCACCGTTGTAGTAGTAGAAGGATATATATTGCTGAGTGTAGTAAAATACTCAGCATCAATCAACTTGTTCATAATTGTCATAAAATTGTCACGGGCTCATTCAAAAAAGTTCCTGAATGCTTTCTATATCATAGCATGATGGATGTAAATGGTGATAATTGCAGTGTCGTATTCCATCTCGTGAACAGTTATCCGCTCAAGTATGTGAGCCATCAGATTGGCGATGGTATTGTACTATCAAGCCAATACCCCGTAAAGCACACTCATATGTGCTCTGTATGGAGCATATGGGTGGTTTAGTGCCGATTTTAGTTGGTCGTCAAACAAATCGCATAATACCACAATTTCATATTTCGTTACTTAGTCCCTCTACGGTCGTCTCATCAAACAGTCGATCATCCACTCCTGATAACGGCTCTTCAGCTCAAGTTGGTGAGAAATTTCGTTAATTTTTACGAAAATTGTTTCGTAATAATGTTCATTCCTTTGAACAACAGATATTTGAAATTAGTGTCGAAAACTATGATCGTTGTTTTTGATTAAGAGTTTGTAATAATATTTCTAATATGCTCATTCTCGGTCCTCACTTTGAGACAGTGTAAGACGGCAACTTCAGTTATATTCAGAACTTAACAAATTGTCGTGATTTGTTACAATTCTTCGCAGATGGGTTTCTTACACGAACTTTTGAAGCACCAGAAAAAGAGTTTGATAATACGAAAACAGATAAGAGCCTGGGCTTGTTTTAGTTTCTTGCGAATCTCTGAAAAAAATGGTGATGCAATCAATTGGGAATGTGGGTGAAGTAAATGAACAGTAGTGGTTTTTAAATGATTGTTGAAAGAGATCGTTCTTATTTTCTCATATTGCAGAAGATGTCGGTGCGTTTACACGTCATTCAACGCAGCGTAATTCTGTGTGGAGGAAAAGTAAACGTCAACTTAGGGCGCTGATGAACAGACATGTTGCTTGCAGACAACCGGTCAACACCATCAATGATAAATTGTTGCAGGTTTGTGTCTGTTTTTTCTCCTCCTGCCTCAACTTGTTCTCTTAGTGCCGGAACTGTTCACATCAAATAATCATTTTTCAACTGTTTTTATTTCAACTGTTCTATATTGTTTTTCTGATGGCTAGATAACAATAACGGGTTGATTTTAATATGCGAAAAAAATTCATATATTCTGTTAAGCCACTTACAAATGTCGCTGATGTTTTCGTATTTATAAATCTTCATTAGGTGTTGTGTTCATTTGGTCATTTTCAGGTTACTTCTAATGTTTGGTGTACGAGATTCAAGATGACTTCATTGGCAACAAATATCCTTCCTCCATTCCTTGCTCAGGTAAAATCAATTAATTATTTGGGACGAGAAAATGTTACTAAAATTTTTTAAATCGATTCTGTGGTACTCATGAAAATGATTATTTGTGGGCAGTTCAATTCGGTTATCCTACCTAGATTATTTTATTATCGCTTGCCTTGATTCTAAATTTTGGGTGATAAAAACATCATTTTTCAAAATAGAATACTAATTGTGGAAGGTCTACGTCGGATGATTGGTGACAGCATCATTATAGGTTATTTTTGTTATCCAGATGTGAAGATTATGAATTGGATAAGTTGAAATGGATAGGTAAGTGATAATCGAAAGATGGCGATGCTTACATTGAAGATGTTGAATATTGAAGGTTATTTATAAGACATCTGTGTTACATTTACAACCCCGACAAATGACCGTACAACTAGTTGATCTGAGTCGTCGAAGTACGACGAGTCCTCTGTTCAGTTGCTGTCGTCGAGGAGGAGCTGCAGCCGCAGCAGAAGTAGCGACAACACGTCGTTCTTCACCGAAAAATGCAAATGCAGTTGAAACATCATCAAACGATCAAGTGTATCTGTGTGATGATAATATGCGACATGTTACTGTTGCGCCATCTGATCGGTAGTTAATTGCTTCATTCTCTCATAATAATTTTGGATTTGTTGATCAGTTTGTTCATCATTCATCCATCATTCTGGAACGTCAATAGATCTAGAGTGAAAGTTTCACTGTTGTGGAGTAATTAACGCTTTTATCACACGTATGAGATAGTGAGCGCAACAGTGAACTGTGCTATAGTATATTTCGCTGTAAAATATTATTGCTCGAAGTTGAGACATGATCCCGTTGAGATATGCAGCTATAGCGTATTTTTTAGGTACAATGATTATGCTTGGTTTAGCGAGTGTGTGATAAGTTCTTCGTTTCACGCATACTGAAATAGTATTCTGCACGTTGAAATTAAAATCGGGATCATTTGTTCTGTTGTAGAGAGTAAAATCAAGCAAGTCGTGACGTTATTTACTTCAAGCAGAACCTAAAAGTCACTAATTTCTTGTTTATCCTCAAATTGAGTTTTGTAGAGAATTATTCGTGGCTGGTGCTGTACCTCAGGGAGATGATGCTGATTATGAAATTGCTGGCATGGGAGTACCAGTTGAAGATGAAAGTGATGAGCCACTCTCACCCGAGGAACGCCTCCTCTATCAGGTTATTTTTCCTCGAGTGCGTACTTCTTGGGAAATTTTATTTATTGGTGTGTTAGAAAAGTAAATATATTTGTAATGTACCGATGAAGTTTAAAAAATATTTCTGCTTTTGGTTCAGTTTCAGTCGATTGTTTTTTTCTTATGAAATGCTAATGGAATTTGTAACTGCAATGCAAATTTTAATTTTTTAGAATGTCTTCACGGAATTCAATGAACTTCGAGTAGCAGTTGAGAGGCATATTGCAAAAATGAAATGTTTTGCCAATGATTTGGAACGATCATCTCATAACCTTGAACCGATTAGTCCGAATAGTAATGTTGCTGGTATTGGTTCAACGCACACAGTTAGTGAGCAACTGAACTTGTTGTCCCCTGCTATCTCTCAACCTACTGTAGTCACGACAAGTGGGGCAACTTCGACTCTCGGAAAATTGCCCAAAGTATCGGCGTCACTCAAGGAAGACTGGACTGCAAGTGCCACATCTGTAGGCGGTGCTGGTACTCGAATACAACGTGCCGAACTTACAATCGGGCCATCAACTTCGGATATGGATTGGCATCATCGATACGACGATATCGAGGTATGCAATTGTTTCTTTTTGTTTTGCTCACATTCCAAAATTATTTTCATTATATGAATTTGCTTTATTCGGTATATACGATTCGCTAATTTTACAAGAAAAACTTGAATCTATGTAGAACTCGACGGAAAGGTCGTATTCGTTTTTCGTTCGTTCATCAGCTGAAATAAATTGTACGTGTAGAATAGTTTGTCATGTGTAATACTTGACTGGATTGGTCTCGATTGAACGAAATCGTCTATTGCGATTGCGTTGAGTACTTGAATTTTTGCAGTATATTGATGAAGATGATTCGATAGTTATGCGGAATCTAAGCGAAAAGATACCGTTGGTTGATCCGTTTCGAGCTCATGACTCTTCTCGAAAGGGTGGGTGCAGATATCGCATCTATACATTTATCTGTTAATTTGATATTTCCGATCATCGCAGTCAAATAAATGCATTTCCTCTTTATAGAGACATTTTTCTATAGTTACTTTATGTTTGGATCGTGCAGAATTGCGTCCGTTACATGGGGCATTTCGAGCGTTCCTATTATACAAACCATGCCAATTGCTGAGGGTTTGGTTTTAATTGACGAGATGACGTGAACTGCATATTTTTGCGTTTCCTCGGCTCTGAGTAAAGAACTTTTAAGTTTGATGTTATTGTCGCTTAAAGTTGATTTTGATAACGAGAAGATGATGCCGATTCATTGTTATTTTCTATTTCAGTTGCCTTGTTAATGCTTTATGTTTGTTTGTTAAAGAGATAGAACAAGAGCATTGGCTATTATAAGTGAACGATTCGATGAATTTGTAGGGCTGCGTCAGTTGAATGATATATCATCCGTGTTAGATAAGCTGGCAAAATTAGCGAACGATTTAACGACACGTTGTACAATCGGACAGTTGAGTCACGAAGCTAGTCCATCAAGTTCACGACAGCTGAATTATAACGGACGAAACAATTCGGTTAGTCTTATTGTTGTTATGTTCAAAGCAGATTCATATCTTACAAATGCTTTGCATTGTAATGAATAATTTGAATAGACAGTTAGGTGCAGGCCAGGTCATAACATGGTTTAGACTCGTTAATATCGGTGAAATCGATACACCACTCGGTGTCGAGCAAAGTTTTCCCCTGCGAGTAGGAGTCGGACCGGAAAGTTTTGTCTGAAATCGAGTGACGTGCCAATCTCACTGATGTTAACGAGTATGAGCCAGGCTATGAATTTGGCTTGTATAAAATTATCTATTCATGTTATCGTGATCGCGCATAGATCAGTTCGTTCTGATTGTGGCGTTTGATGCTTATCAGTTTCGTATTATGTGGGCTGATTGCAAACTCATCACAGTCAGTCGGCAGAGGCTGAACAAAGTCGACAGTTGTTACACTCGGGTTTGATTCCTGTTTGCGGGGAAAGTTTCAATCAAAAGCGAGTGGTGGACTAGTTTCATTGATGTTAATGAATAATGTATAAAATTGATTACAAATATATTTTTATTTTCGTATCAAGTGTAAAGACATGGATATCAAAATTCACTGTGTTGTGCCATTTCCTATTCATCCATCTGATTTATCACTCGAAAATTCCTTTATGTTCTTGTGTGAATGTATTGCTTTCAGCTTGAATTGAACGAAACTCATGCTACGGTGTCCTCGCTTCGTTCCCAGTTAAAAGATATTGCTAAGAAAGTAACGCAGATAGAAAGGAAAATCAACTATGGTTAAATTTTCGATTCAATTGATGCATTTGACGTATTTATTATATTTTGATAAGTACATGAATTTCTGATATGCAATACATAATCAGTTGTTGTAATCAGTAATGTATGAAGGTTTTTTGTGTGCTGCGAAAAAAAATCATTAATTTGATGTGTTCGGAGACATTTTATCTATTAGATCGTCGTAAATTTTGTTTGAATAATTCTCTTACATGAATGAACTATTGTTTACGGCACAACCGATCGTTTTTGTAGGTGATGAGTTGTTGGACGAAGTTTATGGCGATCTGCAACAGCGAGTTCAACATATCAAAGCAGTTCTCGGAGAGCAACCGGCCATCTCTGACGAGATACCACTGCTTACCATGCAAAATAAAGCGCCTTTCTGGAATGAAGCCAGTCAAGTTTATCAGGTACGAATTATCTTTTCCATTCTAAGTTGCTTTTTGTGCAATTTGCTGATAACATTATTGCGAAAACTTTGCACACTTCCATTCAAGCTACGACGATTCTATAAACATTAAAAAAAATGTCTTATATTTAACCATGTTTTAAGTTTTAAACATGTTACCATTAACTTTCCTCACTTGAAAGTGAAATAAACGTGACGGACGTTCGTATTAAAACCATGGTTTACGAGTGATATACGAGAGAAATGAGTATGAGCACACGGACGATGCCAAATCAGAACGCTACTGAAACGAAATCAATGCTTAACGATCATCGAATGTAGAAACCTTCGATAGAAATGTCCGAAAACAAGTCGAGTGCTTTCCTGGAATAGCCGATCATAGTCTCCTCACATGACCGAATTAGACACGGAAAGTATACTTGCAAGAAATATCGGACTGATAGGTTTCAAAGCAGCTCCAATACAGTGCTGTAGCATTGCTAAACCGAAAAGAGCGATATGATTTGTAAGCCATAATATAATCATAATTCACTATGATAGCGATCTATGTTTAATGATCGAAATTTCCGTTGAAATAGATTCGTGATCCGGTCTTTTGACATACCTGGTAAATTTTGATATTGTTTGCAGCTCGATTTTGGTGGTCGCGTAACACAAGAATCAGCGAAGAACTTTCAAATCGAATTTTGTGATAAGCAAGTAATGCAGTTTGGTAGAATTGAAAATGGTGCATATACTCTCGATTTTCGTGGACCGTTCAGTGCAGTGCAGGCATTTGCTGTTGCATTAGCTTCAATAACCCAGCGATTGAAGTAAGAAGCTGAATGGGTGCTAAATACCTATAAAAGAGATTGATGAATAGTAGGTGGTTGAATTGGTATACTAACATGCGATAAAGTGTCCTCGATCTACGGCTAATAGTCGACATTTACAGGGTGTGTGTAATGTGTAATCCTCTTGAGCAGTAGTGGAATTTAGTTTCGTTTGGATTTTTTTGTGATTTTAATACATGAATAGTAATGATAATCAAATTTTCATTTGATGTCTATCGTAAATGCAATGGCATCCACAAACTCTAGATTTCAAGGCTTTTGCATAATTTTTGAGAGTGAAATTGAAAAGCTGAAGGCGAATGTGATGAATCGTTTTATTCGTTATATATTCGTATATATGATATGTTTTTGTCAGTGCTCTTGCTATCAATATGATTGCTACCGTGTACTCGTAATGTGATCCATTCAATATATTGTTCTTCATGCGTTGATCATTCAGTCAAATCACTTATTAATGTATGTTTGGCTCAATTTTTGCAGCACAACACACAGTGTCTTTGATAATCTTTCAGCGGCATTTTCTACAATGTTGCAGCTTTGGAACCGTTCATTCAACACCCATAACGTTTTCTTTTCTTGTATTGTTTTTCCAAGCATTCCTATGCCAAAAACCCAAACCTCCTTGCTTTTGAGTTTTTGCGACGAGTCAGTTTTAAATCTGCAAACTTTCTCATTGTATATGAAACGAGATTTGGATTTTCTTATTTCTATCTAGATTTTTTTTTCTTATCGTCCAAAGGATCTTTGCCATTCATTATTCCCCACATTTTACAAACCACTGTAAAATGCGTTGTCTTTCCATGTGCAGTGCTAAAATTGTGAATTTATTGGTACATAATTTGAACGATCTTCAGAAATTCATTTACTTGTCATATTTGATTCGGAACAGAATTTATTGTGATTGAGGAAAGTTGATGAAGATGAGTACAATTTGTTTATATTATCCAACCAAAGTATCTTCGGCTAATAATTAGCACAACAGTCATTGTAATAATCATTATCTCCATACCATCGTTACGTAAGTTTGTCAGTTAATTGTTCAATTTTGAGGTGTTTTCTTCAGCTATACAATAATTTTTCACTTACATTTCTTTCGAATTCTTGAAGTGTTCTTATCACCATACTCTTAATCATTCAAAAATAATAACTGCTAAATTTTTGCACGTTTGATCACGATAATATGATTGATATTTCTCCAATATTTCAATCAGTTTGCCGTCATTTTGTGTTCAATGAAAGCTGATCAAAATCAACCAGCAAAAGAGCCCGATTTTTGATCTAGGAATGAGAGAATGCAGTCATTTTGGAACACTTCAATTTGCATTTTTAATAGTGCGTTAAACGGTAATATGTTGTGAATGCGGTTTTTCAAATTGCGGGTTCATGATTCGTCATTATTTTACTTTTGTATCTTAAGTGATATACATTGACGTACATTTTTTTCTAAATCCATCGTTTCGCTGATTTTTACGGAATGCGTTCAGCGTTTTATTCATGAAATTTTTTTTCTTCACTTGTATGCATTTATGTTTTTGTTCTTGTGTGCATCGTTATATCTGATCAAATATACGTATATTGAATATTCCACGCTTATTGTTGCATTATTCTTATTACGAAGACATCACATTTCAGTACCTTCAAATTGGCAACGTACCAGTTGTGCGTTTTATTAATCAGTCTTTCGGAAGAAGACTGACTTTTGTTCATGCGATGATTATGAGTGTTCCCATTTCGACAAAGTATCATCCACATATTAACTTCATACATGTGGGAGACTTCATTTTCAGTCAATTCAAGAATTATGAAGTAGAAGGACCTTTTTTGTTTCACAGAGCAATTTATTCGTGAGGTTAATTTGCTGATTTTGAAATGTTTTCTTGAATTGATTGGGACGCATTTATTTAATAGTTTCGTGATGTGGAATTGGAGTTTGTTTATGAGTTAATTAATGAATACGGTATTGAAACATCGTATTCGATCGGGACAAATAGTAAATTTCGCATTTTTTGTAGTATATTTTGATTTATTGAATTTCATGGACGTCAAAGTTGATAGATTACAAATCGGTTGACTTCGTTGTCTAGAAATTGAGCTTGGCATTCATTCATTCACTGTTTGCTTTTGAAGCATTACCTTTGATTGGACTTTGAAGCATTGATTCAAGAGGTTCAAATGGCTTTCGATCGTACTTATAGAAGTGCGACATAAGATTCATAGTTTAAAAAATTGAGTGAGCGGGGATATCTGATAAAATGGTGGTCTTCAAGGAAGTCTGGCATCGTTTTTTTATTTTCTTCACCGACGTACTCAATCAACTTAATCCACTCCATGAACGTGCTCAAAGTTGATTCAGTGCAGGATAAGGATTACGAGTATTATGCCTGTTAAGGTCGTTGCTTATAAAGCTAGAGTAGCATCTCGAAACGAATTGTCGTCTCACGGTATATGCTTGGCTTCTTTCCAGTGACGAATTATTCTTTTCTGCACAACAGCAGATCGTTGAAGCAATTTTATGTCTTGAAGAATTAACCGCCAAACCAGTTTATCCGCCCTTGACCTTCAGTGCTGTCCAAGAATATGCTCAACCGAAATTGCAAAATCATCGCTCGTTTCATCAGCGAAATTTTATGCTTGTTTATAACTGATAAATAATGGAGTGAGCAATGCAGTTTAAATGACATATATTTGGAATTAAATTCAAGAAACTCAGCAAGAGTCATTTAAACACATCAGTGCTGAAGTGGGTACGAAATTATTTGACCAGTTATCCCTTACCAGTTGGTGTTTATAGAAGTAACTTATAAGTTAGTTGCTCAATAATTAATGTTCATGGATATGACTGTATCGTTTTTTTTTTCATGTTTTTAAATTAGGCTATAGATGTTTAACAGGATATTCAGCAGTTTTTATCAAACGATGATTTTAACTATTACTTTTTTAAAATCATGCACTCAGATGCTTCTGATTTTCAATCGGAACTGTTCTACTGAAATACAGATCGAACAATACGGTTCCACTTTATTATGTAGGAATATCGCTGAACAGGAGGTGCCTCTTTGCATTGGAAACCTGAAAAACAGATTAGTGATCGAGTATAGGAGAAATCTCAAGTCTGCTTCTATAATAATGAATATATTAATAAAAGGGCTATCGATAACTAGGCTTGAGATTTTAAAAGATTGTCGCAAGATTTGGGAACATCACCGATAGTTTCGATATTTTTCATTTATAGGAGCTTCAGTTCAGTAAAAACCGACTTTGAAACTAAGTTTGACATATATGCATTGGTTATTAGATGACTAATGTAAATGTTCTATGAAGGATTAATTCAGTTGTGACTGTTTTTTAAAGTTACTGATTAGCGGCAGAATGAAGCGTAAAACAGTGTTTATGTAAGGCACTCCATCAAACTGAAACGGTAACAGATCACGATTACATGCACAATTTTCACTGAAAAAAGATTCTATGCCACCTCATTGTTAGCGCCAACTAGCAGTGAACGACGTGTGTGTTACGAATGCATAATTTCTCTTATTGCTGTCGTAGTTGAGCGGTAAAACAATGTCGACCAGGAATTATACGTTTCGAGGTTGTTGTGATTAGTTCAAATGCTTTATGTTGTTATTCTAATCTGTTATGGCGGTACACATATATAGCGAAAAATGATGATTTTATGTATTGTTACCGAACCTTCACATTCTCATCTTATACAAGATATCGTTTTTTGTCAATAAAAATTTGCACTGTTATAATAATTTAGTTGTGATGTGGTAGATAATAGGCTCGTTGTAAGCAGCTGTTATGATACATGGTACAGTTGTTATGTGATTAGAACGGTATTCAAAGTCCACCCATTCTTGATGGAATTTCAATTCCAGTGGAATTCCAACTTGATCTGTCTTATCGTACTGTAACTCATGAAACTGTCTATTTATCTATTTATTTAACCAGCAAATCCAGCTCATTACAAGTTTATGTCTCTCTGTTATCATCAATATCACTAATATCACATTCTTCCTTCTCTGGTATTCTTCTTTCCGCGCAGCTAACGGTACTGACGATGGGAATCATCTGTTTTCATGAAATTCTAACTTGGATTGTTCATTTGGCGAGCACAGAGGTTTTGGGGCACTCTTCCATATTGCCCGATGATTTCTAGGGAGAGGGACTCAAAAGGAGCCCGAAAATACATTCCGATTGATCGATTGAACATTCGTCCAACAGATGTTCAAAGTAGCTCTTTAGAACAATTCCTCCTTGCATACGTAGTAAATCAGTAATCTTTTGGTATTAATAACAAACAATTGAAAACTATCCATATCCACCGTCAAATCCTAAACCTATTAAATGTATAATTTTTTATTTGTAACATTGTATCATGGCCCTAACCAAATAGTATTATTGTGGGCAGTGGCGTATGCAAGCAGGAATAGTGCAATACGAAGCACTTTCGGCTACGAAAAATCGCTGGAAAAATGACAAATTTGTCGATACGGAAGAAGTCGAACGTTTCTTCAGCGTTAAGACTTTATATTTCTCATTCATTCATGTCCGTTCGATACGTGGATAGAATAAAGGTGTTATTTTTTAACGCATTTAATTTTGGCTCACGCAGTTATTCGTGTAACGCTGTATTATCTCCGAAATAAATGAAATTGCAATTAAAAGGCCGCCCGCTGCAAAAGAAAACAGTGAGTCAAGGGCCTCCCAGCCACTGCAAAAAAGTCTTGCGTACCCCACTGATTGCGATGAGAAGAAGCGCAGGGATCGTTTGTAATTGTGTGGCAAAATGCTCTAGCACTTTTTTAAAACTATGTCCAATAGGGTTTTTCTCGTTTTTTTTTCTCATTTATTCAAATTAATGACATGAAAAGTTCTTTTCGAGGTTCCCGTACGAAAAATTTTGGTTATTGATGCACAGCGAAATTTTTAACTTTATTAATAATCGTGCTCTAGTGTTTTGGTAATAGAATGTACTTCTTAAATTACCATTCAATATGCTGTCAACAAACACAGGTCCACAACTAAGCTTGACTTTTAGGGATGGCAAACTCTCGTAGTGAAGATTGTTACCTCATACAGGAGGTAACTTTTTTTTCCGTTCGCAAGTAACGTTATCCATCTTTTTGGGTGAAAAATATTCTCACAGTGAGGAGATTTCCCGCTTCCATATGTAAAAAAAGCGTAGTAACATTGTAAAAATTTTATTGCGAAATATACAGCAGAAATATTGTGGCTTATGTCCTTATTACCATCAACGAATTATCTTTACGGCTACGGATTCTGTTCGACGGCCAACAGGACACGACTGAGAAAGTTTGGATTGTTGATTCAATTAGTTGTACTGTCTGCTGTAAAATGTATGTGCGCTATGATTATAGCTTTGTTGTGTGCCTCACGATTATCCTCTGCCATAACCACTGCGTCAACTTTCAGGAGACTGGCTCAGATATCATGTCTGAAACCGTTAAGCAGCAAGGTATGCTTTATCGTAACCGTAATCTTATTCATCCTTTGTATCAAGTAATACGACATCTAATTCATTTGTTTTGAGTGGTTTGACTGAAGCTTGAATTATTCCACAGATCATTATCAAAAATAAGTTATTTGGTGGTGTTGAACGAGAATGTTTCGTGATAAGTTAGCATAATTTATGAATTGTATTTCAATGTTTTTACTTTTGTGAAACAATATTTTTGATTTTCCACCGATACATGGAGAGGATAGGTGAACTTCTCTGAAATAATCTTTTTTGAAGATTATTACGAATAAAAGTGTCTGCTTTTCAGGATCTGAAACGAACGGGTCGTGTCATGAATCATTGCCTAAAGAGTAGTTTTTACAAGTTGTTCGAGTTTTCTAAACTGTTTAATAAAAAGTTCCATTGCTAATCATTCATTATCGGAAATAATTTCACCAGTTCTGAAATAAGATATTTTAGCCTAGCAGTCAGAGAATCGTTGATAATTCGAATTTTTGATAATCATCTAGGCCAGTGTACGCGAATATATTGAACTTGAAATTCATGAATTTTCGAAAAAAGTTTCATTCATTGCTCGTGTTATGATCGCTGAGAGTATCATGCAGCTTTGTACAATTTCATTCAAATAATGTACTGTGTTCTAAGCGTGGGGCAAGAAGATCCACAGGCAACCACTGATATTATGCAAGTGATGCGTAAAGGAGTTTTTGGGAAAAGTATCAGCTATCTGCAGGTTAGTGAGCATGTTAAATTTATTTACCTTTGAATGAAAGCAGCGAGCGTGAAATAATTTTTAAAATTACTGAATCAAGGAATGAGAGGCAAAAGTGCAATAAAAGCTGTCGGATGAGTTAGCACGCTCGAACTGCTCAGAGTTGAAGGTAATAATGAATCGAGTGTAAGCATTCCGAATAATGTTAATGAATTTATCTTATTATTAATATGCAACTGATGTTTATAATGCCAACACTTATATTGAATACGTATTATAATCATCCTTCAACAATTGTAAGTATTCTTTTGTAATATTTTAATGGTTACGTTTTAGACAACTAGTCATGAAGATAATGAAAGTGGCAAGAAAGACGTAACAACAGGTAATAAGTTTATTGTTTTCTCTTGAACATCATTAACTACACGGAATTTTACATTCACATTCTCTTAAAAATCATGCCGTAGATCGAGTAACCATCTTGTAGCTTGTATTAGATGAAAAATTTTTGAAATCTATTCAATGGTTTAAGCAGCCGTTATTCTTATGCCTGATGTTGTACTCGTCCATATCCAGCGATTTTTTCTTCGTGAAATATTGTTGTTTTAGAACTGAAGGAAGGTGAAGAAAAATCAGGAAATCATGCCGAGCAGTTGGCGGAGAATCCAACAACTGCTGAAAGTGTTACACAACCAACTGAAGAGGTTGAACACGATCCGTCATCCGTAATGAAAACTTCAGACGAAGTTGAAGTTATTCAAGAAGAGAACATTAAACAGAACGCGGTGATTTATTATAATTACTAAAACACTTTTGTTTATCTTGTTTGGTGCTTCTGATATCATTGTCGTAGAAGATTGAAATACTCGTGATATATGTGGTAAGGTTTGCAAATGCATTCGTAAGTGGACGTTTATTGTTGTTTTTATTGAAGGATGAATGCAGTACACAAAACGAAACAGACGACAAAGAGAAAAAAGAAGTGAAAGAGGATAATGATGATACAAAAATTTCTGAACAAAGTAATAACTCGTCGACAAGTCAGCAATCAAGTGCAGATGAAGAAAAAGCCACGAGAGATGATGCTGATTCGCAATCGTAAGGCTGAGTTTATTGTTTCATTGCTAAAACGTCTTCCATTCAGTTGAATGGGAAGGTTATCATTCAAATGTGTAGAATGGTCGTAATGAAGAACGTTTAAGAGTAATCAAATTCATATTTAATCTTGCCGTCTCCACCGAAAAATGTCTAAACACTGCAGTTTTGTTATCATGTTTATGGTGATGTACTGTTACAGTTTTCAGTGTGAATTGCGTTGTGAATGAACTGCATCCAGATTTTCTCTTCTTTTAGCAAGGATGTTGACATTTCGGGTGCAGAGGTCATATCTTCACTTGAAACATCAGAAGTGGGCACAAAAGCGACATCACAACAACTTACTGCCAGTAAAGATAATAACGAAGGGGAAAAGAGTGAAACAGAAGAAGTGCTTCAGGAAAAGCATACTGTTTGTGATAATGAAGCTGAAGGAAATACCGATGACCAGCATGATACATCGTCAGACAAAGCGGTTTGCTTATCTTCAGAAAATTATTTTCTCATCTGTTCTCATGAAATTGATCTGAAAAGAGTCCTTGTCGGTCCTCTGAATCTGAATTCGTGCTTTTTTCTAGCATTCCAATCAGGAATGATCAGAAGTTGTGCTATAGGAAGAAATAAAGCCAACTTTTTACAAACAGTCGAATTAGCGAATCATATGAAATGTAAAAAATTGCATGAAGTTTTAAAAACAGCGTGAAGCTTTTTCAAAACATGAATTTACATTATTAGTGATCCGGTTCCCATCACTAGAACGTAAGTCATAATTTTCCAAGTTTCATTTCTCAAATCCTGTTCGCTTATTGATTGAGTTCGTCATATTCTGAATCTTTCATTATTTTCTCAACAAACACATTGAAATATTCGCTACCGAATAAATACATTGAAGAGTACACATGTAATTGATTGCATAAGTTTAACCTGCATTCCACAGATAAGACAATAGTAAATTGTTTGACGTTTGGAAAGTATTGTTATTATCTAAGGTGGATGATGTGGGCGAGCTAGCTGCACAAGACGATCAAGATGAGCAGTCGGCAGAAAGAACTGACGAAGAACCGATTCCTGATTCTAACGATGATCATAAAATTGATCAGTCCAAACTTTCGGTGAGGGCAATTTCTATTTCCTTTAACTTAGATGTATACTTTTAATCTCGGAATTCCAGCGCGACAAAATCATTGAGCATCCAAAATTTAGTTGTTTGCTTCTCATGTGTGAAAGTTTTCAATATGTGGAATAGGAATGATTAATGAATTGAAACGATTAAGATCCAATCAAATGAGCAAAGTACAGCTGATGGTGAAGTGAAAGAGAGTGTGGAAAAAGAGCAGGATGTTAGCGAGACCGGTGGTGATAATGACGAAAAAGCGGCACTCGAACGTCGTCGAAGTCTTCGACCGCACAAGCAGATTTCGTACTCGGATACGAGGTACGCGATTGAATGGATCAATGTTTATAACGTTTTAGAAACTGAAACGTGAAGTGAAATAATAGATGGTCCGCTAGCAGCATCATTTAACAATCGCTTTTATTCTTATTGTCACATAAAGCGAATATCTCTGTGTCACATAAAGTGAACGTTGCACAAAAAATGCACTGTCACTTCGAAAGTTATATAACCAACCGAAATTCGTTGAGGATACCAAATTTCGAAACCTTATAAAATTATTTCGATCGTGATTGACCCAAGATTTTAAAATTCAGTTGGAATATCAACTTTCGAAAATCTAAAAAACAAATTCGGTAGGATTCTGACCGAACACAATTTTCGGTTAATTACCATCACCTCTATGTTTTCCATTTTAAGGTTTGCTCGAATACGCAATTTTAAGTCACTTTTGACTGTTTCCACATTATGGATTCAAAATAGTCTCTTGAAGGTGATTGCAAATGCCGATATTAAACAATAGAAAATAGATCATTCGAGTATTTCGCTTGCTTTCAGACCGGTCTCTGCTAGTGATAGCAAAACAGCGAAACGAGATGCGAAAAAGACAACCGAATCAAAGGTACATATTTCGTTTTTTTCGCTTTAAAAACAACAATTTGTTCCCCCTCTTCAATTTGGTCAGTTGAACACAACTGTTCCGATTTCGTTTTTAATTGCGTTGTTATTTTATTTTGAATCATGCCACGCATCAATAAACTGAAACTTCTTATAGAATTCACATCGTACAGAAAATATCAGATGATATAATTAGAATTCTATTTTCAAGCACAGCTTCGATTGTTAGTTGAAACTGATCATATCTTTTGAACTTTTTAATGCTGATGTGTTAAATTCGCTTCACTATTCTAATCTGCTTCAGACGACAACCAACGACAATACACCAACTGTGAAAAAATCTGAAACCACTCTTCCACAAAGTCGTCGATCTGCAAAGGAAAAAGGTATATTAGTGGTCATGGTCTTTTTCGTGTCGCATTTGTTGTAAAGTTTTACGTCGTGTTTGTATTTAGGTGTGCTGTTCATTCAAGATGTTTCTTTCATGAATTTTGCAGAGAGTGAAAGTACAAGCGCAGAGAGTGCTGCAACAACACCAAAACGTCGTCCACAATCAAAAGCAGCTTCATCATCGAGAAGGAGCACTCCTGCATCAATCACCGAAGCAAGCCAAACACGACGTAAGCCAACCAGCGCCCAGCCGAAGGGCCATTCTTTTCCAGATGATGATCCGTTCAGTCTGGAAAACAATATCGACAATCATCCTCAACCGCTACGAAATATACAAGTATCACAACTGACTGTTCATCTATGATAAATCTAAATAATTAGCAGTACTCTTCTCAGGGTTTACATTTCTCTTTCATTTGGCTATTATAATTGTTGTTGGTGTTGAATTGGTGATTATTCGCATCACTTATATAAATGATTGCGCACGGGCATCAGCAAATCTTAAGTAATGAGGCAATACTATTTTTAAGATGGAACGTCAGTCTTTTGGGAATATAAAGTTCACGAAAGCATCGAATACACCTGACACATCACTGTAAGTTATTTTCATGAATGGAGCTTTTTTTTGTTCTCCTCATAATAGGGTGAATTCCGCGAATTGGTATACGATTCGATAACAATATTGCACAATAAGTGAAGTTTTAGAGAAGCATGATTAGTTATTTGATTTTAGTTGAACATTCATTTAATGTATACATATTCATTGTTTGTTAGTGATTGTAAATAATAATTGACATATTTATGTTTCTTAAGGAATCGTTATGAAAAAACGGAACAGACTGCCAGTGAACGTCGTTCGAATCTGCCTGATTTGGTTACACCATTAAAGGCGTGTTGTTACGATTATTTGTTAAAATTACATATCACGTGTTTCTTTATCATTGAAATGAACTGCTTCAGATTCAGTGCCGTGAAAACCGATGATAATTTCAAGTTTTGAGCTGATGACAATGAAAATTAGCATATTCTTTTGTCGCACACACGTAACTTCCTTTAGTGGGAAGTTTGTTCATTTTGAAGTCATTGGGCGAAGATGTTCAACAACAAACTAAGGAGTATTGTTTTTGAGGGAATCTTTCGAAAGTAGCAAAAAATATATGAAACGATAAATGATGAAGTTTAAGCAGAGTTATTCATTCGTGATTATTCACTGAAAAACCTAATAATCGTATTGTTTAGTGTTTTTATAATGAATGTTGTTTTAGCATGGTGTTGTGCACAAGTCACTGTCTGAATTGAGTACAATTCGCCGCACTCCTGTCTCTCGTAAATTAAAGTTAGTGTGTTTCAATGGTAGTAAATCATTTTTTCTTTTATTTATCAATGGTAATTCTGTCTGCTTACTTTCGAATTTTGAAAAGAATTTTTGAGTATTGCAACACTGCTTTAGGAATTTATCCTTACGTGTTAAGTGGTGAAGTTTTTTTTGCAGGAAAATCGGATCTATCAGTGAAGATATTAACACGAATGAAGAAGCAGCGAATAGCAACGTTGATGATGAGCCGATGGATGTTAATGTTGGAAATGAACCGGTAAATGGAGAACATCGAAGTGTATGTTCAAAAGCAATCTTTTTGACATAGCATTTGGCATTTGTTGAAGACTTCTCTTACAAACGCTCTTGTTTTGCTGACCGTTTTAACTAATTCGATTTGACTTTCACTTATTGATATTCTCTTATTAATTCTTTTCAAATGTGTTGAATTCACTTCAAAGGATTTGCCATTGAAACGAATAGATTGTTTGGGTTTTTGCTGACAAATATTAATCATAATCATAATGAATGCACAGAACATAAGAGTTATCAATTTTCAGTAACTAATTAGTAATTGAAATCAGTTATAGTGTACAATAATAAAACACGGCTTTTAAAGTGGATCTCATTTGCAGGCATCAACTACCGCCACGCCTAAGAGTCATGCCAAAAAAACTCGCGTCACCAAAGCGGAAAGTGCGCCAGCCATGCCGAACACTAAGAAACGGAGAATGTTAGCTATGTTTTGAACAACATTTTTGTTATATGCTCATGATGAATTCTGTTGATGCGGGACGTAGAGCGGAAGGGAAATTGACGATAAACAAAGAGAATAGTCATTTGGTCGTTTGTTACATTTTTGAATGATGGTAAGATGTGCGTCGAATCAGGAAGCGAATTGCGCGGAATTTTGTTACGAAGTAATTTGTGAAAGCAATCTTTTGTGTCAGTAGCTGAGGGAAGAGCAAATTTAGAGAACAAACGTCGACTGAAGTGGTACCCAAGAAAGCGCATACGAAGCCATTGCCAGTGTTGGACATTGATGAGCAGTTCGCGGTTGATCATCGTGAAAATGAGCATACACCTTACGAAATTGGTGCTCGTGTCTATGCACTCTGGGGTCGTGAGTACTACGCTGCTAAAGTTTCTGCGTTGGTTTCCGTTTGTATTCAGTTTTGCTTTGTGATTGTTTAAAGTATTATATTGAAAATGTGCTTTAGAAGTTGATGTCGTGATGCTAATGAATATATCTCAAAAATTCATAAATATAATCAGTTTTTTTGCATCAAAACAAATATCGCATCTTGTAAGATGAATCTACGTTATAGCATTTGAATTATGGTAAATTCACATAGATGTTTGAAAATATTTTGTTGCATAAAGCAGCGCATCTGTTGTTAAACATTTATCGAGTGGATTCAGGGAGCGTGATTCGAGTGGAAGGTATGAGTTAATGTTCGTTGAGGACGAAGAAGTTCGTCGGTTGGTTGTAACCGGAATCATTCCTTTAACCGCTCTTGTTACTGGCAAAAATGTATGTGCTTTACTTTATTCGTATTTAATGCTCTTCGGCAAACACACCGTTTTTGCCTTAATCGTCACTGCAATTTTGTGTTCGAATAGCCATTGGCAGTTATGCTTGAAAATGGATCATATAAAACACGAATTTGAAAGTTCCATGCTCATTTCTCGAAATTTTAGCGATAATGTCCTGTTTACTGAAAGTTTCTTCAGAAATTTGTATTATTGATGAAGCTTTACAGATTTGATGGATGATGAATGTATTTCATTGGATAATGAATAAGTTTTCAGTGTTTAACCACAATTAAAAAGAACGATGAAGATGTAATTGAAGAAGTTGAAATAGTGAAATCACCGTCAAGCACAGATAAGCAGGAATGGATGGAAGCGTTACTTCAAGTAAAAAGCGTCGAGCATGGAAACGAATACAAGTGGGTATTAGATATGAGCATATGCATATGGTTTGAGTTGCTTGATGGATATGGTGAAGTTCATTAATTAGTAGAAATGATTATTTATCCGCTTAGCTTCTTTTTCATGTATTCCACAAATTACATCTATTATTGTAGCGTATCATGGGCAAAACTCTGGCTGAATTCGAGTCAGGCGAACGCCTTGGCGACAGCAAAGGTGAACACTGCATGTGATGTTATGGCAGGTATCGCATCTTTTATTTGCATTGTTGTCAATTTCAAGTACACCTTTGAAGGTCTCATTCGCACACTGATTAAACATTTGAATCGAAAGTGTTTCTTTTTACTTACTCAATCACAATGAGTCAATGATGTAAACAAATCCATTTCTCGCATTACTTTAATTCTTCTCAATGCCCCGAGAATGAACTCATATCATATTTGAGAATGAAATTGAGACTGCAACAAATTTTTTGTTAATTAATCAAGGTGGATTGAAATGTAAAGAATAAGAACTGAAATGGTATATATTTCAGTTATATTGATGCGTAATTTATATGTAATGTTATTATTGCCTTAAGATAATATCGATACCGCTGAATCTCGTCGAAGTCGTGCCAAGCGTCATACACATGCTCCAGAAGAGGCAGCAACGCCAGTTGCAGCTCGCTCACCGAAGAAATCAAAGAGTGGTAATTGATTGCTCTAAATTTGTGGTGTTTACCTGAGTGTGTTTACTAGTCAGTTGTTAGTCAAAGTTCGTCTCGTTGTTTGAAAATTAGAATGCCGTTTTAAATTTTCATATGAAACAGCATCTGAAATATTGAAATATTGTTGTTTGAAATGAACATTCATCTGATTCTAGATATTAATGAGGCTGAGTCATCACATTGGCTAAATCGTTCGATATTTCGTAAAATCAAGCTCATGAATAAAACTTGTTTTGTTATATCGGCTGTTTTTTAGCCGTGCATTTCTTGCTCGTTTCTGTGGAGCAGGGTTTCTCAAAAAAGGGTACATGCGCCCCCGGGGGGTACATGATGACATGCCAGGGGTCCGAGAGAGGATGGGTGCGAGATAAGGTAGGGGGCACGAGGACATCTTAATATTTACTAGGGAGTCCACGGAGCAAAAGAAGGTCAAGAGCCAGTGCTGTAGGGGATATGAGGGAATTTTCAAATGCATTTCGAAGCGATTGTTCATCGAAATTACAATACATTATAAAGATTCATTATACTTTTTGTCTTGTTTCAGCAAGCATTAAAGGAAAACGTACTGTAACAGAGAATGAGGACGTCAGTGAATCAACAGCAACAAATGCGAACTCATCAACACTGGAAGGTGTGATGCCTAATAATTTGTCACTCAACGTCCGAATCAGTTTTCTTCTCTAAACTTGAATTTTATGCCTAGTAACGTAGAAAAAAATTACTGCTCATAATATTCAAGTTTCAGGTGGTAATATTTTCTCTGGTATAGCGGTAGTGATAACATCGGCAATGCGCAAAAATAAAGACGAAGAACAAGCATTCAGTAAACGTGAAGTGCGTCAAATGATCGAAAGTCACGGTGGAATAGTTTCAGATGATTTCACGGTTAGCATTTTGATTGTTGGAGTATTCAAAAGTATACAATATGTTCCTTTATTCTTGAGATTTCATGCAAAATTTTGTTCGGTGTTGTAAGTTTTTACAATCGAGTGATATAATTATGGAATCTTATTCAACAATAGGTTATGTTTCTGCAGTCATTGTCAGAACGATTTGTGCAGTTAATTATCAAGCACTTCGTGTAGTTGGTTCTGGGTGTAATGAAATGAGGCTGATAGTGAGAAAGAACACTATTGATGCACTCGTTTCATAGCACGTATGAATTTATCAACGAGTTCGTTGTCATTAGTGAAATTGATTACTCAAAATTGTTAAATGTTGAACAATGTAATGATTGTTCAGAAAATCGCATCAAGTGAGAAAGTATTGTTGATCGCAGATACTCATTATCGCACCCACAAATACCTCTCAGCCTTAGCTCGATCTGTACCTTGCGTTCGTCATCAATGGATACGTGATTGTGTTGAACAGGTAGCGCTTTGTAGTTTGTATTTCTCCGTCAAAATCACTAATCTTTTCTAGCATTTCTTAATAATATTTCTGTTTGTTTCTTATGGTGCTATGAATTAGTGATGCCCTTTTGCAGAATAAACTTCTTGATTACAAGGACTATATGCTGCCGGCTGGTATTTCGCTTTTGACGAACAAAATAGTGCCATGGTAAATTCATTTCAGATTTAGTTTTTTGTTATCAGATGATTGCTGAAATTATTTTAATATGGAGTTAGATGAGTGTCTGTTGATATTTGGCGTGGTAGGTTTCACGTGGAGTGAAATGATTGTTATTGTCGTAATTTTGTGTCATTCAGGCATGCTAATAATGGTCGTTTATTGGAAGGTAAGCGCGTTCTGCTATCCACGCGCAACTTCTTCCCTGAAACACAGATGCCAAATTTTGCAGAGATCTGGGCACCTCTCATCAAACAGATGGGTGCTGAAGTTGTTGATCAAATGCCATCAGGTTTATATCATTTGTTGAGTTTCATTTAGAAAATAAATGATCCTTCCAAATGGTTTCATAGTGATAGTAATCATTAAAAAGAGTTCAGTGAGTATTCTTTGTAATTCGACTGGATATTGTAAAGAATTTGAAAAATTTCCTTATGAGTTACAATTTTATAGATGGTGTTGATATCCTGTTGACGGACGCATCGTGTTCAGATGATGTTTTGGCACAGGCTCGTGAATGCAACGCAATCATTGTTTCATCTGAATGGATAATTCAGGTTTCATGCACTATCCAGTTGTTTGATCCTATTATGAGATGATTTCTTGATTTTGCGTTCATTTAGACTAATTTGTGAATTTTGATGTGATTCGTATTATTGTCTAATATGAGAAAGTGTTCAATTTTTCACGAAAAAATGTGAACACAGTCTAGTCATAAAGTGCATTAAAAGTTGATATTGTCATTCTGTTGTTTTTTTTTTCAGTCAATCATTCATGGAAATCTGCCTGATCCTACGGCTCACGAACGATTTCAGTACAACTTTGTTGACTCACAGTAGGGAGTTAATATTTGCGCCACAAGGAAATGCGGTGTGGTTTATGAGTGTAATATTTCATATCATTTGGATTCAGTTTTGCGATGTATCGCGTTTAAGCGGCTGATCTTCGATGATGTAGGTGTGTATTAATGAGACTTTCACACCGATTTTCTCGTTATGAATAATGAGGAGCGTAATAATCGTTTAATTATTCGGATTGTTGATTATGCTTGTTTCTTCATTTACACTCTGAGTTGGAACGTTCGCTTCATGGCATTCGCTTTCTCCACCTCTAATACTCATTTATTGGGGACGGTGTGAGGGGTAAAATGTTGAGAGGCAGTCATTCCAAAATCAGTTTTCAGTGGTACTTTATACAACTTATTCACGTTATTTTCGTTGTATTTAAAAGCGTGTTGAGTTGAATTTATTTGTATTTTTATTGATCATCACTAATTGTGTAATACATTAATGTTTGTCATTAATGTATCCCTTAAAATACATTATTCTACTGAGGGTCATATTTGCTTGTTGTTTTTGTCTTAAACACTTCAGTAATATTACAAGTGAACACTTATTAATCTGATTAATGGGTAATGCAGTCTGCACTTCAGTAATTGATAATATATCTTGTAATTGCTAATTATGTGCATCTCTTTTTTGAAGATTGAAATTTGAAACATCTGCAGTGAGGTTCCATCGGCATTCGTAACTTCGATACAAGATCAATCAAACAGTTTTGAATCTCAAATCGAAAAATTTTGATTGGTCCGTTTATATTTCTGATTTCTATCTTTGGAGGTTGTTCACTAACTTGACTTTTCTACTGAAGCGGGCCTCGTGAGTAGAATGTATTCATCTAGGTGAATTTCGGTTAAATTTTGACTGAGACGAGATCAGCATTAGCGTGTTTGTGTGCATGATCTCTGTTTATGACTAATTATTGTTTACTATGAATGTTGTTTTTTATTTTTGCGTTGTTGATCCTTTCAATAGAAGCGTATTAATTAGGTAAACATCTTATTATTGATACTGTTATTCTCATTATTATTATTATCATTATTGTTATTATTATTATTATCAATTTTTACTTTCAGAGGTATTGGAAACTACTTTTTACATTCATTTGTTGTTGGTTTCCATTCATATGTTCCATTTGACGGTTTTGATTTCCATTTGAGTAATTTCCGTGCTGTTTTTTTTAATATTTAAATTAATCGTTTGTATTCTATTATTTGTTGATGTTTTGGCATCGCCGTTCAGCATACGCAGTAATGGAAATCGTTATATGATTGGTTGGATAGTCTAAACTGTATTGTTCTAGAACGGATTTCTTCAAGAGATTGAATCATAGCGATATTAACATATGAATTCACAAAGTCGTTAAAACGCTGTCCGTTATACCTCAATAACTGCTTTTTCTGAAACGGATTCGATGCGTTCTGAGTTTAATTTGTTTTTGTGTGAGGAGGTTGTGAGTGGATTTGTATATATTTATGCGCGTTTATCATGTTATGTGGGAAATAATTTGAGGAATGAGTGGTAAATGCTTGTATTGAAATGTCATGAGAATATTCCATTCTAACTAATATCACTTTGATATTATTCGTTAACGCTGCATTCTAGTTCAGTTCTCATTATCACGTCGTTCTCAAATTGTTATTTGATGATCCTTCCGGCTGTTAAGTATTCTCAGACAGACCGAATGATTTTTGATAAGTGGACTGCTGTTCAAGAAGACTAAAATACTGTTTCATTATTGTTGTTGTTCGTTCATTATGGACGTTTGTCTGTTGTGAATTATTTCGATGTTGCATATTCTCTATCAAATTTTGCAAAAATAATAACTGTTCTATGTATTTTCATCCTAGATTATTGTTCATTTGTTTCTATCGAAAATTAAATAAAACCTCACAAAATTGTTCGTTTGTTAGTGAAGAAACATGGTATAATTGTCCAGTTTGAATACGATTACATTATTGCAATCACTTGACTGTCTTTTTAATACGGCTCGCTGTTTGTCAAGTGGTCAATGGCTAACCGCTAATAATTTCAAATTTATTTCACTTCGATCGCAGTGCAATAAGCAGAAATTTAAATGAAAAAAACATATTTTCTTTGGTCAATGTACCAATTGTGAATGTTAATGGTCGTGACCGGACAATTTGCATAAAAACGTTTTGTCTAACGACAGTTTGTCTAAAGACACGTTGCCTAATGGACGGTTTTTTAACGGATATTTTGCCTAATAGGCAAAATGTCCGGGTACCGTTAGTGGTGATATACGATTTGAGACGGTGGTTCCAACCCGGGGAGGGGAGGGGGTGAAATTACATTTTATCTTTAATGCATTAAACTAGGCGAGGGTAGATTTCGATGCACGTATGTGAATAAAATAAGCGAGGATGGACATATGTTTGAAAAGGCTAGACCGTATTCTGGTGATGTACACACATCCAAACTACAGACACTCACTGTAGTGGATGAGAGATAGGAAGTGGATGTTGTGTGGAATGCGAGAACATTTTAACGATTGTTGTAGGGGGTACGAGGACACCTTAAAAATTTTAAGGGGTGCGGGCGAAGAAAAAGCTTGGAAACCACTGATTTAATGACAACGTTGTGCGTCATGTTCATAAGATGTTCGGTCTTTGCGATGTATTGTTCATTGTAACGTATATCCGTTCGTTTAACGGGCAAACTTTATGTATCTCTTACTGTACAGTGACAGTCTCACTTATGTTCAAATTCCACGTTTCCATAGTTCTTTCTGTTTTTGTTGATGATTTATGATGGGGCTGTTGGGTACGGGTTTATTTTGTGAGCATTATCGAACTGATTATAGTGGGGGTTATAATTTCAAACTGAAACAGATTAAAACAAAATTTTGCATTAAGATTCTGATTCACACTTGAACTGCGTGGTATGGCAAGCGAAAGTATTCGACGATTTTTCAGTTTTCTGCTGATTGGTTCATTTTTCATCGCTCACTTTTTGCTTGAGTAGATTTCGGTACATCGATACACTCTGCGGTATCTCATTCCGTTTTTCACTGAATTTGGTTGCGATAGGGAAGGGGAGAGGAGAGAAGGGGACGAGAATAGAATAGTTCGTGTCTGATCTTGTTGATAACTTACTTACGTTAGTCATAGAGATGAAAGAAGGCCATGTGTTTTTCAAATTTCACATGGCTAATATTACTATATGAGGGAGATTTTAAAATGCTGCTGATAGTATAATGAGTAGATGTTTCATAAATGATTAGAATTATTATATAGTCGTTGCTGTTTGGATGTTAATGCGTAAAATGTGATATTATTTCATTTTGTGCTGTTCAGACGTTCAAAGTAGCGGTGTTCGAGCTCTCGAGAACGAGACGATTATTTTAGAACAATATAGCCATCGAAAGTGATGCTTCGTCACTAGAAAGTGAACATATCTTCAACACGGACTTCAGATCGTTTGAAGGTTAGTAGCTTACATGAATTTTCCTGCTGATAATTTTTTTTTTTGCGTTCAAACATTGTCGCGTATTTAACTAACAGTCATGTTCACAAAATTCACCAATCTTAATATCAGATACTCTCTGCAGCAGATTAATTGTTCTTGCATTCGTTTGTTGAACGAATCAGCAGTGTACATTATCGTGACTTTGAGCATGAGTTTTCGTATGATGGAAGTTAAGCCGAAATGACTGTTTCGATGTTGATATTGCTTTATCATTCTACTTCAATCAAAAGCACCACATCCTATCAGCATCATCTTCTTACACATGACGATCCTCCGAGTTTTGATCCCTGGCACTAAAATTCTCAGCGCGAGCTAATAGTTAATGCATGTAGTCCATGCTTCCGAGAATTTATTTGTAGAAAAAAGGGTGAACAGAACGAATTCTTATTGTTTATTATCATGTTTATTCTTAAACAATGTTAACAGATCAATAAGTTGTACACAAAGAATTATTTTCATAAAGCTAAGGAAAGAAATTGAATGGATTGCGAATAAACGAATCAAAGCACTAATGTTGTCTACATTACTTGAAGACACAGATTCGGATTAATTTTTGTTATAAAGCAAACACTATGAAATAGGTTTACGGTGTGTTGAATCAGTGTGTTATTCATTTAAGGAATAAACGTTTTGAATTGGTTTTAACGCAACGCGTAATGCACTGCGAAAAGCTGCTGCTGGTTAATTTTGATCTTAATGGTAGCATACATGGTTCAGCGCTAGTATTTTTAAATGCAAACAATAGAAAGAGTTAATGCATTCAATAAAATGAAAAAAAAAAGGAATCATGTTTCTTAAAATGTATGAATAAAGTCGTTTTGAATGATTGTGAATTATTTTAAATCTTCTGTGATCATTCATTGAATTGATTTGTTCGGTGAACAGTTACACATAATTACACCTTAGCATTACATTGCTTGTTATCAATCGTTCAGCAAATCGTTATCACTCTTCCGGAATTCTTTATCCAGCAAAAGCAGTGGTGCACTTAATTATGTTTTGTTTGCTAAATCTGAAGTGAGCTTGAGCTGTAGTAGAACTTTACAATCGTGTCATATTCCATCCTTTCATGACTGCATTGCTTTGTTATCTGTGATCGTTATTTATAAACATTCTATTTTCACTCTTTATTTTATCGGTTGTTTGAATTGAATAAAGTTTAAAAACCTACAGAAATTTATTGAAAAGAGAAAATTAATCGTTTTCGTTTGTGAGAAGACATGTTGAGTAGAAATTATTCTGCGATTGTCCAAATTGAAAGCAATAAAAAGTTTTAGAAGTCATTGCATTATTACTTGTGAATTGGCTTCTTCAGCATCAATTTTATTCTGGCTGATGAATTAAATTTTTTCATGACCACATTCTGCTTTTTTCAACCATGAAAATGCGTCAATTATTTTATCCTTATGCGAATCCCATTAGCTTCTGATCGATCTCTTTCTCTTTACCAACTAAATGTATTTGTTCAGGTTGCATTGATTCAGAATAAATGAGCTGTAGCGCTTTCAATCAATTTTCCATGCATTCACACGTAGGAATTGACCACAGTTGCAAGCAGCATTTAATGAATCCTGATCGAATTGCACTTTTATCCGATAATATTGACATACCGTTGCTGCTGAATACTGATCGATCGCAACACACAATTTTGAAATATATTTATAATACTTTCCTTTTCTATGAAAAATTTTTGTGATTATTAATAATGTATGTAATTAGCTCATTTCCACTTTCATTGCGATGGAATGAATTGCCTTTAGCGTTAAAATGCATGGAGAATAACAAATTTAATCATCTCGCAATCGATATATTTGATCGTTACATTAATGCGTCACCTCATTAACAAATGCATTAAAACATTGAAGATCATCCATTTGACAAGCGACGAAATGAAAAAGTTCGATGAGTAAAGGTCGACAGCTTTTGAGGTGTGAATGTATGGATATTATTTATGCTGGGTGGAACATTTCCGATAATTCATATATGCATGAATGACTTTCATAAAATCATTGTTTTGCAGCACTTTATAGTCCTTTCATTTTATTGTTCTCTTCAATCTTCTTTATCGTCACTTCCAATTATTTCGATGAAATGAGTGAATGAACTATTCAAAATTGTTTGTCGTGAAGCAAACGTTTATGTTTGTATATATTGTCAGGTAAACCCACAAAAAAGCTTTTATTAAGTTGAATTAAAAGCGTAATTTTTGATGAGTGATAATAAAATGTTACTTAATTGAACTACTTCTCAGGACCGATGCTGATTAAATGACTTGAATGTGAATGTTGACCACGAAGATTTAAGATATGCAACACTTTTAATTTGTTCTTTCTTTGACATGTCGTATATGCAATTATCGTTTATTAGGTATGCTTTTGCCTAAGATGCATACATTAAATCACAACAAGACACTTACTTAATTTTCCATCGTCATCTATCCTTCTCTCGTTCAATCACTTTCGACTCGACATCAACAATATCACCAGCCTACATAATATATTCGTATCTGTATGTGCTTTTTTTCCTGCAGACTTCTTAGTTACTGAAAATCGATTTCAACAAAAATTATACTCTTTATAATTTATCGGCTTGCTCATGATGTCTTTCAGCTGATTTATCGTCAAGCACGTTCGGACGCGGAATAAGTTGTTGCAATTAGATGCTTAAAATCAGTTATGCGCAGTATTCACCTTACAAATATTACTTTATTCTTCCACAAATACACTCTCACGTTACGCTTCCCAAGCATATCTGTCCTATTTCCACAGAAGATTGTTCATGACTTCGAAATATTCTTTTACAGTTGTTTCGAAAGGTCCGACATTGCTGTCTATAACTTTCCTGGAATTTATTGTCTTTGATTTCCCTGGAAACCGCTTTCTGTCATTTTCACTTTGCACTCATTTTTCGGCGTTTAAATTCGTTTTTATGATTTTCGCCTCTTTCATGTAGAGCTAGATGCTGCTCTTTGCTCGAATCATTCTAATCTCTTAATCTTTGACAAGTTATGTCTTTTTGATGATGCATTCGGATATGTCGCATATTAGCAGATTTTATTTAATAAAGCTTATTAGCATTTCATTAGCATGTATACACCATTTCCCCGATTGCGTTTCACTCTCTTGTGATTAAACTAAACAATTTATTCCCACCATCATCGTATTTACTTAGAGTTATGTCAAGCTGGCCTCAGTTTCAGTTAATTGTTCGAAAGATGTGTGTTTTGCTATCAGCTCTCTGCCACTCTACTCGTCATCCATCTAGTCTATGACTTCCTTAAAATACTTTTTTTAGTTAATATATGCATATAAATTTGATCATTTAATAGATGAGAAATGTTCCTCAAATTACTGAATTTTTACTTGGTCAAATTACAATTGGAATGATGAAACTGTGGTTTGCATTGCATTAGTGATCATTTACTCAGCTGTTTTTTGTGACGCTTATTTCAATGATTTGCTCATAAGTTTTACTGATGGATACTGTATTCGTGTTCAGCTTTCTTCGTATGTCGATGAGAACGACTTTATTTGCGCATTTCTGTTTCGCATCTCTAAATTGAAACCATGCTAACGATTAGTAATCATGTTTGCAAGTATAAATGATTTACAACAACTCATAGCAACAAATGCCATCTGCTACAATAAATTCATTCAAAAGTTTTGAACGAACTATCAAGTGGATCTTGAAATCACCTTGACCGTGAACGTGAAATATGCATTTTGTTGTCCCATTCTCTTACTGTTCGATATTCAGTATATTTTCGATTAAATGTTCTCGTAGCTTTGGTATATGCTACAGAATCCTAGAAATTCAATCCGTTTCTACTAAAGAATCTTTCAGCACATAACGATTGTACCAGGTTTTCTAGTAAAATTTCTAATAAAATCAGTGGAAAGTATTTAATTGTTCGATGTTCGTATTGCCGACGAAAGTGAATGAATCAAGTAAATGACTCGTAATTGCGAATGAAAAAACCATATACTTGTATGAGCCATATGAATGCGTTCGGAGAGTTTTGCGAAAATAGTAATGAGAACAATAGTTATAGTAATAAACAGTCATAAGAGCAGCAGTATATTAACTACAAATGATTCACTTATTCTGATATGTATACAATTAAAAAATATTTAAATTTCAAAGTATCGCGTTGATCATTCGTAGCCTTTTATATAGGATCTCTGGGCGATCGGTTTGCTAGTGTTGAGGCGAGGCCGTATTACATATTATCGTTTTGTAATCGTCTTTCGTCCACAATTATTCCTCGGCTTATTATCATTATTGTCAGCATTCTTTTTTCGTCTGTTGCTTTGATGAAATTTTTAATGATTGTTTACAGTACTTGCGTATCATCTTCGTGGTCTTCTTCATTGTAAGTAGTAAAGTAATGGTTACCAGACTGTGAATTAACAATTTGATACTCTGTTCTGCAATAAATGGATGAACGGCCATGACTGAGAGGGTATCTGAGGTCTTATGAAACTATTGACAAAATTTCAGTTTATTATTTATGTAAAGTCCTGAATTTCTACTGAAATAAACAAAAAATTTATGCAGTTATCACTAATATAAAAAGCTGTGATCTGCTCCCAAATCGAGTTATCACGATTCTAGTAGCTCTTTCAATTTCATAGGCAGTTGATCGAGAAATATCACATTTTCTTGAAAGTCTACTTCTATTCATACTGCTATGATGTTTCCGTCGCTCGTCTTTGCACCATACATCAGCTGTATGTAAATCATCAACGAAAATGTTTCTTTTTGCATGTCAGACGTGTAGAAATCAAACAGAAGTGATGAAGCAATAGTTCCATGAGGTGAATCTTCATCCAAATTTCGATAGCTTACCGTCTCATTCCCTACAGATAGGCGTATATTTTTTCCATTGAACAGCTGTGTAACAATCTTTTTATATTTTTTAACAAAAGCGAAAAAGGAAATAATCGAAGCAGAAAAAGGGAAAATATTTATGGCGAATTATAACGCGATTTTGCTCGTACTTCATCTGTCTATATGTACGTTCATATAAATGTGTATATGTTGTATATTCAGTGAAAGAAATGACGAAGGGAAGTGCGAATTGAAAGCTTGAAAAAAGCAATAATGATAGTGATTAGTCCGTGAAATCGTGTGCTGCTTGATCATGAATTATGTATCGTTTCTGTATTCAGCTTCTCATTTAACTATTAATTTCTATTACTTTCGTATATCGAATCGTGCATTCATTTAATTTTTCAAGAAATTCGAATATTTTTCATTGCCTAGCTTATTATTATTCCGAGAGCACATCGAATAAGATATAATCGCGGAAGAGATTGAAAATAAAACTGGAACGATTGAAGAGATTACAAAATTGATTCTCGAATGGGTTGTGATTGATGACGTTACAAGTGATACGTGGAAGTGCTATTGCATTTGGAATATTCAACGTAAATTATACCAATCAACAGTTATCACTGTTCATTTAATGGTATTTCACGTATAGATTCGTATCGAGTTCAAATTATTGTTGCTATTATTTTTAGTATTACTTTTTAAATGGTTATCAGAAGTTTTTGATTTCATTACTATGGTGATGAATAGAAGAGTACATTGATAATAGGAGATGCTTCATTCATAAATTCGCGATGTTCTAATCTAAGCGTTCTAATCAATTTTGTCACTGAATTAGAATAACGCTAACGCTGTGTGCTGTTCAGGAATCGCATTTTGCATACACATTATGAGACTGTTCAGTTGATTCATATGAATGAATATATGCAACTTTTTAAATGAACGTTTAGATTTTGTATTGTACCAGTTGTGAAACGTTTACGTTTCTAGTTGCACTCAATAAATTATAGTCATTGCAATGGTTTGTTTTCCATATTTTTTTTTGTTCATGCAGATCCTAGGATCTTTGTGATTTGCTCTGTTTAGTACATGTGCTCTGTATGAAAGAAATGGTTTTACCATTGTTTTTCTTAAATAGGCACCGTACTTTTTTCAGTGTTTTGATTAAAAATCTAAGTTTGATTGTTAAAAATGAATTTTTTTCATTTTTCATTGCTCTTTTTTCTGATTGAAAAATGTCAAAGAGCATTCTCAGGACGAACGAAGTTGTGTTGTGAACAGTGCTGCTGATAAAAACATCCATAAAGGGGATACAATCAACGATAATATGATACACTGTCGAAGTGCTGTCGATTGTTCAACCTTAACGGTTTCGGTTAGCAGAATTGATATTTTAATGAAGATTTTCAGGATTCAATGTGAAAATTTCGATATTTTCCGCTAAAAGTCATCTGCATTTTTTCGAATTCATTTCAGTATTTTCACTTACCATAAAATGAATCGACTGATTCCAAATAAATTGTTAATTTCAACTTTTTTTTCTTGAAGGAATGCGCAGATATATTACGTTCGGATCTCGGTCGTGGTTTGTCGACAGCGGAGGCAATCAGACGACAAAAATATAGCGGTTTCAACGAGTTCGAAATCGCTGAGCACGATTCATTATGGAAAAAATATTTGGACCAGGTGGAAGTTCCATTAATGTTCTACCTGCGTTATGCTGAATTTTTCTTTTTTTTTGATCTGATGATTATCATCATATATTTGTTTTGTGTATTCTCGTAAATTAAAAAGAAAAATGTGAGAATTTGTTACGAATTCAGAGTTAGTTCAGTTGTTAGCAGTAAAAGCAGTGTATCTAATCGACTCATCATCTGCCCATCGAATAATCGTACAAATTTCATTTTAGTTCAAAAACCCTTTGATTCTTCTTCTGTTAGCCAGTGCTGCTATATCAGTGTTAATGAAACAAGTGGATGACGCGATTAGCATAACTGTGGCGATTGTTATTGTAGTTACGGTTGGATTTGTGCAAGAATATCGATCTGAAAAAACACTCGAACAATTAAATAAACTTGTACCACCATCTTGTCATGCGTACGTTGAACATTTTGAATATCTTTTTACGAGATTTCAGTTCGCTTCTATTTTCATAATTCACATACGAGTGGTCAGGAGGGGGTGGGAAATGTGGGCACTAGGGGAGCCTAGCTCGTTGCCTCTACTAAAATGTCAAGCAATACAGTATAGACATACAGTCAAGCAAAAATTCAAAAAGCAGAATATGTATGCTTAGAATTGATTGGAAATTCAGCAACTGTGTCAGGTTTTCAACTATCAACCGATTGCTTCTTTTTGTTATTACCACAGAAGCATGCATTGTGGTAAACATTTTGTACGTGGATTGACCCCCGTTCGTCACAAACTTGAGGCTGCACATATGGCGGTTCATATTTTAAGGATGCTTTATTGTGATGAAATATTCTTTTGTCATATGCCATCAACCGTCGATGAAAGTTTCATAAATTAGCTTGTTCGAAAGGTATAAGAATTTGGTGTTGATAGAGATAATATGTTCAGAGTACGTGATGGCAGAGAAGTGCAGTTTCTTGCTCGTGAATTGGTTCCTGGTGATATCGTATTATTGAATGTTGGTGATCGCGTACCCGCTGATCTCCGTTTAACTGAAGTAATTTCAATTATTATGAATTATAAATCATCTTGCTCATCACTTCAGATTTCTCTGTTGTATTCGCTCTTGTGAAATCATTTGATTGATATTATCTTTGTTATGATTATTATTACTGCTATTGTTGTTAGTATTATGATTATTATTAGTATTTTATTGTCATATCATATCGGAATTATGTGTTTGCAGGCGGTTGACATACAGGTGGATGAATCTTCGTTTACTGGTGAAATGGAACCGAAGCATAAGCATGTGAATTCACTGAATGGGTCGATTAATATGGATGGTGTGGATAACGCTGTTTATATGGGTACGCTCGTTCGGAGTGGTCATGCGAAGGTGAGTATTCCAGTATTGAATATTTCATTAATCGGTTATATCAGATCATTGTATCTATTCTCATTGGGACAGAAGGCATCTTTCATTATGAGTGGATCAGTGTTTTTAGATTCAGCAAAGAAATTGATTTTTGTTTGTGTTCAATTTTGTTTCCTAATTGAAATGAGAGCGCATCATACACCGATAATTTCGTTTCAGGGTATCGTTATCGGCACTGGCGCAAATACACGTTTCGGTGAGGTTTTCAAAATGATGCAAGCTGAAGAGGTGTGTTAATTTACTCATAAGTTACTTCCGAATTCAATGAACGTTACGGAATTTGCCGAATTATTTTGTTATCTTCATAATTTCACTGTTTTTCAATTTGGCGTTAAAATTGGTGAATGCATCAAAATTCAGCAAAATAACGTTCTGAGTCTCAGAATCATTAAAGATTGAAGCTATAATAACAAAATAATTGTGAATCATAACTTAAGGCTGTTCTGAGTGGTTTGAGCTGTGAGTTAATTAGTTACAAATGAATAAAGAAGAAATATTTTCAGTCACCGAAGACACCCCTCCAGAACAGTATGGATCACTTGGGAACGCAACTTTCATTTTATTCGTTTGCTGTCATAGCAATAATATTTCTAATTGGATTAATTCAGGGACGTGATATTTTGGATATGTTCACCATTGGTGTGAGGTATGTCTAGAATCATACAATACGTTGTAGTTGTGAGCTATTTTCTTCAATTTGAAAGCCTTTTTCAGCTGAAAGTTATTTTTATCCTAAATCTTCATTCATCATTGATCAGTTTTTTAAAAAAAGTTGTGAAATGTAGTTTGAAAGTATCAAATTAGTTTTCATCACATATTTCGTGAAATGCAATTCGTTGAAATGAATTGGCGAATTCGCTATATTCCTACGATATCGTACTGTTTTGTTTTCTCGTTTTCTCCTGTTTGTCTCTGTGCAACCCTGCCGTGAAGTTTTATTGTCAAATTAAATTTTAATTGAATTGTGATCATTTTCAGTTTGGCAGTTGCTGCAATTCCAGAAGGACTACCGATAGTTGTAGCCGTAACGTTAGCGATCGGAGTAATTCGGATGGCCTCTCGACGTGCCGTCGTGAAGAAATTACCGGCCGTTGAAACATTGGGCTGTGTGACGGTGATTTGTTCAGATAAGACGGGTACTTTAACGAAAAATGAAATGACCGCCGTTAGTGTTGTTGCTGCTGATGGGACTGCAGCCGATGTCAGTTCTCTCATTTAATCGTTTATAACTTCATTTTGAACGTAACCAATCATTACGTTCTCTTCCATTACTCTTGAATGGTTCATTTTTCCGTCAAAGACTCCTGTCATTGAGCAGGTGTAAGTAATACAACATTTTAAAGTGATGAAATGAAACCTCATTGTTCACGTTCCTCGTAAGAACGAGTTCATTTTCAAGTATGTGCTTAGTTGAGGTATTTTAGTTTCTTTACATTGTTCTAGATCAATTGTTGTCGTGATGATCAAACGAAGAAAATAATTAAAGGTTTGTGGCATTGGCTATTCATTGGAAGGCGGCTTATGTAGTGTCGGTGGTGAACGTGTCTTTGGCAATTCGCATCCATCGATCAGTCGTGTTATTGAAATAGGATGTGTTTGTAATAATTCCACATTAACGGATGGTATTTTAATTGGACAACCCACTGAAGGGGCACTTCTTATACTTGCGATGAAGGTGCTGCTTATATACTTCTCAGAGACCAATCATCATGATATCAACTGATGATTTCTTGTTCTTGTTGTCTTATTTTGATATTGCACTTCAGCAGATATTATGTGTGGTTGGTCACGGCAAGAATAATTGAATACAGTTTATTGGGGACGTTACAAATGTACAATATAGAAGAATTTAAGTTAATTGAGGAAATACAAATGTAGTGGACAAATTATAATATAGGAGACCACTCGCCGGCTAATCAGTATCACGGTATCAATGTACAATATCAGTGGCCACTCGTTGGCCGATTAAGATTATAATATCAATTTACAATATTTGGGGGCCACTCGCTGGCCAATTGATATTACGATATCAATGAATAACTTGATGATCTGAGTATGGCGAAGTTCTCTGATATCGCTTACTCGGCTTCTTCACTGCCTCATTTTATTGCCTTTATTTCATCTCCCATTCTCACGTTCCTAAAAGATCACATTCGTAGATAATATCTTATGATACCATTCTTAGCTTCCATACAGTGTCTTTGTTTTGGCTATTAACATGCATTTTATCTGAATATGTAACAATTATGTTGCCTTTCCCATATGTTCATCTTTATGTTTTAATTTGAACCGTTTCATCGAAATGGTGTTTTGAGAATTCGAACAGTACAATGTTGACACTTCCATAATTTGTTCCTTTTAGACTCAGCTTGATTATAAACGAGATGTTTACAAAAGACTTAAAGAGATTCCTTTCACATCTGAATCAAAATGGATGGGCGTCTATTGTGAAACGTCCAATAATGTTTGTTTGTTTTTTTAAGCTCTCCTTACCATTTTCAGTTTTTTTTTTAATTTTCAATTCATCCTCTTTTTAATATTAATCCTCATTCTTCGGTTTTGTTCAGGAACGATAATTGGTGATTATTCTATCTATGATTATGTTATATTTTCACATATTCTTCTTTAAATGTGTGATTGATATGGATGAAACAGACGTCTTGTTAACTGATTGTGAATGTTGCAGAATGGTAATTCAGAACAATATTTTGTGAAAGGTGCATTTGATCGAGTATTAGAGATGTGTGTTAGTTATCTTCATGGTGGTTATCTTCCACAACCTATTGATAACGCCGCTCGTGAACACTTCATTGAAACTAGCCGACAGCTTGGAAATTGTGGTCTCAGAGGTGATTCACTTCTTCCCATTATTGTTTTCAATTCGTTTTTCATGTTTCACTTCACTGAAAGATTTTTATTTCTTGTGCATCTGTGCATTTGGGAATTATTATTGTTCATATTACTGTTGTTATATAACCGTTATCATTATTCTTTGTTGTTATTGAAGAAATGATATGAACTTGTAGTAATTGCGTTAGCGATTGGCCATACAGATCGGGATTTGAGTTTTGCTGGTATGATCGGTATCGTTGATCCACCAAGACCTGGTGTTGCCGAGAGTATTGAAGTTGTACAATCAGCTGGTGTTAGTGTTAAAATGGTGACTGGTGATTCACTTGAAACCGCGTGCAGTATTGGTCAGTGTTTCAAACTAGCAATGTTCTTAAGGATCTCTTCAGTGCACTGAGATAGATATCCGAATTTAGCAAGTCGTTTGCAACTGTATCACGATGGAGGTAATTGCTTGTCTGGCTCACAAATGGATCAGATGAATGATGTCGATCTAGAAAAGGTTATTAAAGAGGTGTCAATCTTCTATCGTTCATCACCAAAGCATAAACTTCGCATTGTGAAAGTTCGTTTAGTATTTCGTTCATTTCTCAGTAGTAATTGTTGCTGTAATTTTTATGATCACTGTTATTGTCAATGTGTTTAATTTCAGGCATTGCAAAATTTAGGTGAAGTGGTCGCGATGACAGGTGATGGTGTTAACGATGCAGTTGCGTTGAAGAAAGCCGATATCGGTATTGCGATGGGCAGGAGTGGCACTGATGTGTGCAAGGTACTTTCTTATTTTTATTTCATTCGGGTATTTTACTCAACTCTCGTGACAAGCGCGAATTAATTTTCGTTGTAAAATGTCATTATGACGACAGTTGAAAATAAAACGATATTTTGTATTGGAAATGCATTTTTGCAATTAGTATTCCAAATAATATAAATTTCGATAAAATCAAAAAGGGCACGTCCTCAGCTCGTCATTCTTTCATTCTTACTTAAGGAAGCAGCCGATATGATTCTTATCGATGACGATTTCTTCACAATTCGATCGGCTATTGAAGAAGGCAAAGGAATATATCACAATATCACGAATTTTGTACGGTTCCAACTAAGCACGTGTGTTCATTAAGTGTTAATTTTGTTCATATATTGCAGACAATCCAATTAGAAAATTCAGCCTTTTTTCAGTGAAGTTTTTCTTGCTCGCTTATTAAGGATTTATTTATTTCTCCAAAGTCACTTTCCTTTCAACTCCAACATTGAACATTCCAGAAAATTTGAACGGAAGATTCTATTAATTCTTGAGAGGCTCAACCTCTGATTTATTGTGCCACAAAGGTGCAATAATCATTCATTTATTGAGGGTGTTCGTGTATCATATATTATTGAAATAGTTCATTGCAGAAGTGTGGCTGCACTCTCTTTAATAGCACTTTCTACAATGTTTCATTTCGAGAATCCACTTAATGCAATGCAAATATTGTGGATCAATATAATCATGGATGGACCACCGGCACAAAGTTTAGGTGTTGAGCCGGTTGATAAGGTGATATTGAAATAAATTACGCAAAATCCATTGAGACTCCAAGTCTAAGATGTCTCATATGTTTTCGTTTACAGAACTGATCGTAATCCATTTTCATTCGTGTATCAACAAGTTTATTACGTGAATGATAATGTGGTAGTCATTTCTACTTGAGCATCACAGAGTCTCAAATACAAGATTTCCTTCAGCGTGCTAGGTTGCATGGAACTGTGATTTTCTTTTCTTCATGAAGATATCGCATAAACAAATATGTTATTATTAGAAGTACCGCAAACAAGGCTCATACATTTGATCAGCTCAAATAACACAAGGAATTATCATATGTGCTTTGAAAGTGCTTAGATTAGGATGAAAATAGAGTGCAATCCAGTTCGTATGGCGTTCAAGAAATTCAGTTTGTTGTAGGATATAATTCGACAACCTCCCCGCAATGTCCGACAGCCTATGATGACGCGAGCACTTATAATGAATATTCTCATCTCAGCATCAATTATTATAATGGGTACATTATCAGTCTTCTACAAAGAGGTTGAACATGATTATTGTTATTATTATTATTATTATTATTATTATTATTATTATTCCCGTTAATATTACACTTGATCATAATTTCATAATAGCTCTCACTTATTTTTCTATCAGTCGCTAGTTTTACGGTACCGTTTTTTCTTACTTATCATCAGTTTCGTAAGGTTGATTCGAAATTACTGCGAGAACGCTTCATTTCTCTGGCTCTAAAGGCCATTAAATTTCAGTCATGATGTTATTTGAAGAATGCTTTTTTTTCAGTTTTTATTTTTCCGTCATATTAGCATTCATTTCTTTTAAGTTCATGTTTGGGCGTTTAATAATTTGTTTATGAAAATATGAGGCATAATTGAATATGTGAACGAGGCATGAAAATAAAGTTGAGCATTGATCTTCTGCAGATGTCGGCTGATAATCAAATTACACCAAGAGACACGACAATGACTTTTACGTGTTTCGTATTTTTCGATATGTGGAACGCACTTGCATGCAGATCAAGTCGTAAACTCATTTGGGAGATTGGATTATTCAGGTGGTTCATTCATTCATTGAAATTTTTTTGATTTTCTGTTATTTTTTATCATTAGATAGATTGAGCACATTCAATGGTTTTTCAGTGCGAAACCGATGAGTTTTCGTGATTAGCTGAACCCATATATATTTAAATGAAGTTTAATATTTGAAGTTAGTGAAAATATTCCCAAAATCTCCAGGAATCGAATGTTTTGTTTGGCTGTATCCGGTTCGTTGCTTTGTCAACTCGCTGTCATCTATTTGGCTCCTCTACAACGAATCTTCCAAACTGAAGCACTTAGTTTATTTGGTAAATCTTCATTCTTCAAAAAAAATCAAAGAACAAGTTTTTCATTATCATTTTCGTTCTAACACTGATTTGGTTCAGCGCATTTATCATGAATACTCATTTCAGATTTGTTATTCTTATGTGTTTTAACGTCATCCGTATTTATTGTTGCTGAATCAAGAAAGTATTTTGAAATACGATCAAGGAAGTCATCCGCTTATTCGAGATTTGGTGTTGGAGATGGCCTGTGATTGGATTATTGTTTCTCTCTCGTCTCTCATTCACTAATTATCATATCTGTGTAGTCTCGTAAAAGAGAAAAGCGCAACTTTGAGTGTCTAAATTACTCTGTAATTCGTTTTTTTGAAAGTTTGCTCTCATTTTTCATAATAACAGTCTGTCGCTGGTCGTAGCTGATAAGATTGTTAGTTTCTTGAAACAGTCGAGTTTTATTCTCATGCATTCACTTCTTGAATAATTTGCTTTTGCAATTCTTTTGATTATGGTTTTTGTCGTTCTGGGCTCTTTCAAATGCAGTTTTCATTTTGGTGTTCTTGCCTTTACCTGTACTCGTTTTATTTCAAGAAATCTTGGCATGTTAAACAGTGATTCCTTACTGAACTTATTATTCATGATGGTCGATTTGGTAGGGCCCGAGTCCTGGTTGATTACTGTTTCGGTCAGAATTTGTTTTCAGCATCTTTTGGGGTCTTAACTAAAGAGTAGACTCATATATGTATGTGTATGTAAATGCGTACATCTTTTTGTTGGATCCTCTCTTCGATTTGCTATTTTGTAACGCTGAAGCGCTTTTGGTAAGATAACCTGTCCATCATTTATTTGTGCGCAACGATTGCTGCCATCTGCTATTCATAAGTTCTGTTATCTTCTATTTCTTGCTATCTTTACATGTCCCAAATTGTGTTGTTGTTGTGTACAATTGATATGATTATGATTTTATCTAACCAAATTGTTCAGTCCTAATTAGACATTCATTTAAACAATCCATCACTATTAATTCGCTGCTTCAGTTTCATTTTCAAACTTATTGGTGATTTTACTTCACGCTTTATTGTTGTAATATGAATAACATCTGAAAGGAACTTCATAGTCATCATCTTTAGTAGATTAGAGTAAGTTCAAGTCAAAAATATGGAAATAATTACTTCATATTTTCATAATTTTCGATGTGTTATTTCATATTAATATTATGGTGCATCTGTATGGTGGGAATGAACAGATACGAATTGAATTCTTGCATTAGGCTTGAAATATCTATAGTGAGCGTATTTAAATTCTTTATATATCTATAGGTGTTGGAATTGATTTGTATAAGTCGAAAATTTGTTGACGATCTTTTTCGCGATACTTGTCAAAATTACTATCACACTTCTCATATAGCTTCTTGTCTGATATTGTGATTGATTGAATAGAAATATTGCGGGTTTTAGCCAGTGTTTCGGGTTTTACTTATCGAAGAGATTTTATCAATGGTACTGGAAGTGTTAGTTTTTTTGCACTTGACAAGCGTTGTTTTCCAAATTCGTACCCGTTCAAGCGAGTGGTTAGATCAGATCATTTGTGATACTCGCGTTATATGATGTTACTGTTGAATGTTAATTGTTTGGAATCGCATATTTGTATTGCCAAAGAATATTTATTTGATCGATTACTGTTTCATGTTTTATCTTCTATTGTTTCACGGTATTAGTATTCTTTGATGTATTGTAATGTGAATAACATTTATCAAATGATCATTATTGGTGCTTTTCAAATATATGCATCTGATTGTGCACAAGTGCAGCCCCTTCGAAATCGAAATGATTTTATGTCATAGCCTCTGAGGCTGAGACTGTCAAAAGGAACCCATGATTTGCAGTTACGCGTGAGTAAAGAAAAGATAAAAACAGCATTCAGATCATGTAATTACACAATAAACACCAATGCATAATTATACAATTCCGAGTTATAACAATTCAGTTTGATTAAAACAGCACTTAGAGTGGCTTTGTGCCAGTTCATTGCATGCTTCATCTGATCCAGAAATATTAGTTTAGCATAAGATAAAACTGTTACATGAGTATGACAACAAATGTAAAAATTGTTATTAATGCAGCAGAAACTTGTCCTTGTAATAATTGTTTCAATGGTTTGATAGTTTGACGATGCTGTCGAAAAAGCGAGGGACGTTTCGTTAGAGAACGAACGATATTATGTGGTACCAGCATGAATGTTGTTTTCTTGATACGGTTACATGTTTCTACTGGATGCTGCCATTCCGTGGATGATCTTTTGGGGTGATTATTTTCGAATTTGAAAACGAATTTAGATCGCATCGTGACAATAGTTACATTGTTGTCGAAACTCACCTTATTAGTTCCCTATGATCTTTGACATTTGCTAAAATATTTAGCATGAAATGGATTTTATTATGGTGCGATGCGTATTATACTGTCTACATAAATGATCATTAATAACTAATTGAGGTAATCAGGTCTCATGAAACACAAAAAAAACTTTTAAAAGTCGTTACATCCGATATGTGCTGGGCGCTAGACACTTCAAGCGTTTATCAGTTGATCCAAAAAATTGACCTCTTCCCTGAAGAAGCCCATCTTATGGATTAACTCGAATATATTTTGTTTTAGATTTTATGTGATGAACTCTGAAAAAAGCATTATACGATACCAATATGTATTTTTGTTCAAAAATTTAACTATACAGATAATACAATAATTCGAGTGTACTGGAAAGTATCAACAACGAATTCGAATGAACTGATGAGTCTAAAGACGGTTTTGCCGATGCGCTACATATGGGGACTCTAGGTGCAAGGGAACTGAAGACGTTTCAAAGATGTATCACAGATGCTTTAAGCATGCAAAGTACTCTCACTTATGTTAGACATGACAAATAACACACGATAGTGTAAACATTGCACTTTTCGAATTCCCAAAATATGCAATGGAATGATCAGATTAAAAGATAAATGTATGAGAAAGGCAACATCTTTGTTGCATATTTGTTGCATTCTCTTTGTTGCATATTTATGAAAAGATGCATTCCAAGCAAAAATGCATGTCTACAGTCAAAACAAAGGCATTATCTGAAAGCTAAAAGCATTAGCAGATGACCTTATCTACGAATACCATCTTCCAGGAACATGGGAAAGCACGAACAAAGGATTGGCTTAAAAAGCAAGAAGAAGAAGACCCAGAACGAAGTTCATATCTACGCGCGTGCAGACCGTTGGACCGGTCGAAGCTATACTGAAATCTTACGAACTATACTGAAATTGTG